GGAGTAAATAAGTCAATCCTCGGGTGGTTCCTGTCACACAGAGCAGTTCCCTGGAGCTGGTTGGATCCTGCTGTCAGTGTGTCCGTCCATCCCCGGCGCTGAGCTGAGCTGTCACCTGCTTTACCATCTCCTGACTTCCTTGGTGTGACCTCAGCTCTTTATCTTTTCTTTGCAGAGAATGGCCAATTTAACAGTGTAGAGGTTCGTGCTTTCCCCTTGGATCCTGCTGGGAATTCCATGGCCAGGAGGAGCCCTGGGACTGGAGCATCCCCGGAGCACAGTGAGCCCCTTCGGCCAGTACTCGCCTTGAACTGAGTTTTTAGAGTTTTTAGAGTGTGTCTTTGCCTGTGTCTTTTCTTTCCAAATGCTGGAATGTCTGTCCATGAGATTGGAGAAAATTCATTTATGGAGCTTTTTCAAGCTGCTTCTAATGAGCCAATGTATCCCTGGGCTTTTGGGATCTTTCCTTCTGGTTAGATGCCAAAAAATAACCACAGTGTGATGACAAAAGAGTCATATTCTTACTGGCTGAGGCAGATTTTCTTTGGAAAAGGCACTACCAGACAAAATCCCCTAGTTTTTATTTATCTGTTACCATTTCCAAGTTATTTCCAAGTTCAAGCACAATTATTGTGTCATTCAGCCATCCAAAGAGCTCCAGTTTAGCTTTGTTTCCAGAACTGCTGATGTGGGTCCCCCCAGTCTGAGCCTGTTCCTTTGCTTGGGAAGGCTTTTGTTTGGGATGTAACAGCATTTTGCTTGGGATGTAACAGCACATCCCATTTCCAGGTCAGCACATCCCACGGGATGCCTCCTGTGAGGGACAGATGGGAATAAAACCTCCTGTCCCTCTCTGGAAGCAGCACAGCAACCAGTGCTTTTAAATCCCACCTCAAGCCCTACTTTAGGTTTGCATCCTGACCTAAACCTCATCTCCTCTCTCATTTTTCCTGCATTTTGTGGATGGTTTATCCATTACCCCCCAAAAACATGGCTCTGCTTAGTGTCTGGGAACAGTGGAGCCCTTGGGCAGGGTTTGGAGGAAGCACAAGAGTTTTACCAGTTGGCTTTTTAATATACCAAATTTTAGGCCCACAACAAGCTTTTAACTTGCCTGTGAATCAGCTGTGAATGTTACCCATGTCTAATGCTGCCTTTCACATTTTAAGCTGGTTTTTTAGTGTTTAGAGCACACGTGGTACAGCTGTGTCTGGCTGTGTCTGACTTAAATCCCCCCCAAAACCCAAATTTATAGTTTTCTCCCTCAAGCCTCGACTTCCATTTTGCCAAACTCCCATTTTACCCCACTCCAGCTGTTCTTGCAATAAGGGCAAAACCCTCAGGTTGGATGAAGAAAGGAGCATTTGGGTACAGAGCAGGAGGCTGTTCTGGACCTGCTGTTTCCAGTTGACTCTAGGATTTATCTGAGCAGAATTTGCTTATTTTAAATACATAAATAAATGCTGGATATACCCATAATTAGGGAAATCTGTGCCCTGGCTGTGGAGGAGCTCAGCAGCCCCAAAGCCTGAGCATTTTGAGCCCAAACCTCGTTGTTTTAAGCAATCCCAGAGCTTTAATTTGATAAAACTGAGTTAGAGAAGACCAAGGCACTAATCCTGACCCCTTAGGATTCCTGAGGAGCAGAAACACGTCATAATCTAAAGCAATTGTGCCACAGAGAGAGGAAATTCGGTGGCGAGAAATTGAATTTTAGTAGTTTTGCTCCTCAGGCTTTTAACCCCTGGGGGGCAGGTTTACTTCAACCATCTGGCCTTGGGTTTTAAATGTTTTTGTGCTTAGGAATAAGCCAGGAAAAAAAAATAAAATGTTGAAGGAAGAGATTTAGAGCCTGTCCATGATAGTTTTTTTGCTGTCACGCTCAAAAAAAAAACTCTAAACGCACAAACCCACCCGTGTCGGGCTGGCAGCTCCCACCAAAAAAACCTCCTGCTCTGTGGGGAAAAAAAGAAAAAAAAGGGGTAGAAAATGTACTGTAGGGTGTTTACGCACAACATGCTGTGATAACTTGCTAAAGAGTTGATTATGTTCGTTGTCATCAAGTAGTTAATGGTTGTAAGGAGATAAAAATATATATTTTTACCTGCTGGGAATTGAATGTCGCTGTTCATGTGTTGGTGGTTGTGGCTTTTTTTGTTTTAATCACTGCTAAAAAAATCAGGGCTAACTGCTAAAAAATCAGTTTGGATCAGTGGCTGTGGGGGTCCCTTATTCCCATGGAGTGGGTCCTTGTTTTGGCCATGGGATGGAGCTTCAATCCTTCCCTGCTCACAGCAGTGTTTGTGCCTCGGTGCTTTAATTAAAGCCTGACTTGAGCCTTTTCCTCCTGCATTTTAGCCTTTGAAAGGCGTGGGTTTTTTAAAACACAGGTGTCCAGAGCAGAGCAGCAGCAGATTTGTGGTCAGATCATTGCCCTGAGGGTGAATCATACCCACCATGCCAGGTCCTGCTGAGCCCTGAGTGCAGGGCCGGGGTGATGCCAAGTGAGCCCATGCATCTCCTGGCAGGTGCCTGTGCCAGACATTTCCTTGAAATCACCTGATTTCCTTGGCACTGGGCGTGCAAATACCCCAGATAAACAACAATTGCACAATGGGGTTGGGGTTTTTTTTCCAATACTTTTGATTTAGCAGCAGCTCGTGTTGTCGGGGGGGAGCAGAGCTGGTGTCATGGGCTGGGCAGGTGGAGGTGTGGTGGGTTTAGAGGTGTGAATGTTGGCCTGGCACCTTGGAGAGCATTTTACCATGAGGGGGGGTTTTCTGCAACCCTATGATTTTTCTGCCCATGTGTTTGGTGGTGGTGGCTGCTGTCACCTTCAGTGAGCAGTGGTGGGGCCACCCATGGGACTAATGGGTCACTGCAGAGAAAAATGATCACTCTGGCAAAAAACCTGCTCCATCTCCTCTGCCAGCAGTGGGGAAAACTGGAAAATGGGCAAAAAATGGCTTAAACCCAGCCTGGGTAGCTTATCTGTGTACACTGACTGTGACCTTGGAGCTGCCACCTCTGTCAGGCGTCCCCTTCCCGGTAGTGGGTGATGGTCGGGAAGCCTGACCCCGGTGCCAGGGGGACAAGGAGCAGCTGGGATGAGAGGCATCAGCAGCAGCATGGCCAGGACCCACCTGGCCTGGGGAGATGTCCCCAACCCTCACCCTGTGCTCCTCTGGAAGGTGCTGGGGGAGCACTGCTGGTGCCACCTCCCCCTGTCCCCGCTGCTCCTGGGTCCCTGAGCACTGTTGGCAGGCTGCCTCTGTATTTAGTGTTTGCTGATGTGGATGTCACCCATCTGCTTGTAAACTTCCCTGCTCTGCTGCCTTCTAATGTGTTTTCTTTCAGGTTTAAAAAGCTGCAGTGTATGTCAGCTTGTGCTGTATGTTGTGTACTCTGTGCACTTGGGCATAAAGAGCCATCAGCCTCTATTTACAATAAAGAGATTTAAAAAAACACAGATCATTTCCTCTGTTCTTTTCCATTGTTTGCTTTAACTGCTCACAGTGTGCTGGTTTTCTGAGACAGTGGTGAATTCAGGGAGTCTCTGGAATGTGCTTGGAGAAAGAGGGTCTGCAGGGGCGGGCAGGTGTCCCTGGGCTTTGGGATTTGAGTTGGAAATGGGGAATCTTACACCCTGGTGCTGTTCTCCTTCCCTTATCATTAAGGGTGTTTTTATTGGAGCTTTTGGAATTCAGACTTTCAGGTTTTTCATGGAGCTGTTAGGGTAGGAATGCTTTTTTTTAAAGCACATCTCTTTTTTTTTAGGAGAAAAAAAGACGTCAAGAGGAGCAACTGGTGTGACTCTGATTTCCAGCTGGAAACCAGCTGGTCCCAAAGGGACCAAAACTCCTTTTATCCTCTTTAAGCCACTCCAAGCTGTGGGTTGAGGAGGTCTCAGGATTGTTCAGCAGCTGCCAGAGCAGGAGGTGCTTTTTTGTGTGGCTGATGCCCATGACACTCTGTGCAGATGCTGAAAGACCTCCTGAGTGCCCCTGGGGGAGCTGCTGATGTTTGGGGCCACAAACTGGCTTGTTCTGGGCCATTTGGAAAAATAGAAATCCGGGAAGCCTATGTTTGTGTTTGTGATTAACTGGATTCCTGTAAATATTTTGTAGATGTCAGTGCCTGTTGTGAGCAAGTCTCTGCTCATGCAGCCTCCTGTTGTGTTCTGCAGAGAAGGAACTAAAACCAGGTGAACTTCAGGTGAACTTCAGCAAGGTAATACTAATATACCCCACTCAGGGTAGGGATGTGGTAAATTGTTCAGCCAAACCCTGTTGGATTTGGTAGAACAAACAAATACCTGCAAGAAGCACAACCTGGGGTAAAAAGCCCACCACCAACTTGATGGTGACTCCAGCCTGGATGAAGCTGTGGAGCCAAAGGAGCAAGTGGTGACAACTTCTACCAAAAGTTGGTACTGGAAAAGGACCCACCAGCAAGAGCTGGATTCAGGAACAGCTTGCAATGAGCTGGAGGGCATCTGAGTTTTCATCAAGGCCAGGTTGGATGGGGCTTGGAGCAACCTGGTCTAGGGGAAGGTCTCCCTGCCCAGGGCAGGGGGTGGGACAAAATGAGGTTTTAAGGTTCCTTTCAACCAAACCACTCGTTGATTCTGTGGCCCTGGGTGTTTGGCTCTGAGTGATGCTCCCTGGGCCCTCACACCCTGCTGAGCTCCAGCTGCTGGGTTTTCATGGGAATAGGTGGGGCTGGCTGAAGAAACCACTTTTTGAATGCTGACCATGGGCTTCTGAGGTCAGAAGGGATGAACTCATGGTTGATGTGTCCCTCTTGAGGAGACCCCCACAGCATGCCTGAGGTCCAGCACTGGCTGTGTGCCGTTGCTGCCCGGTGGGGCAGCTCAGCAAGGATCATTTCAACAAAGACTTGGCAACTCCACACAATAAACCAAACAATTTCAACATCTGTTTGGGTTGCATTCAGTTTTTCTCGTGTTTTGCTTTGTGGGTTGAATAAACTACTTCCTTCTTGCTCAGGAGGAGTTAATGATTTATGGGTCAGCTGGCACGACCCTGGTTTCTGCAGAATTCTGCAGAAAGCTTTTCTCCATGGAGCCATAGCTGAGCATGTAGGCGGATCATGACTCCTCCTTTAGCTGTGCCTGGAGCCAGGGGACTGGATGGGAACAGTCACTGCTTTGTCTTGGAAGTGCTGAACGCTCCAGGTCTCCATCTCCTGCCTCCTGACCTCCAGGTAAGGCAACTCGGAGCCACAGAGCTTTAAGTGTTGCTCTTGGGAACTGGGTTGGAGCTGTAATGCAACTCCAGCAGGCCCAAAGATCAGTAAATTAAATCAAATTATGCCAGGAGTTGTAACTGGGATTGAAGGAAAGGCAGAGGAATGAAACAGCCAAGGGAAATGTTGGGTTTAGGGCAGAAAGCATCGAGGAAGAGCCTTGTTTCCAGGAGGAAGGCAGGTACTTGGACCATCTGTAACATTGGGAGAGTTTAGGCTCAAAAATGATCCTGGGTAATACAGAGATGACTCTTACTGATCTCTAGGGCTGGCAGGTACTAACCTGGCAAACTGGAGTTAAATTCCATTTGGTAAAGCAAATTGTTTTGATTGACTTGTATGTTTTATAGCTTTATTCAGTTAATATTTGCACAAAATTGATGTAACTTTTACTTCTCTCCCTCTGAGGGTTATTTATTGTTAGGGGACTGTACTGGTGACTCCAGCAGGATTTAATCTGACTAGGAATTTACTTCCAGGAGATTTAGTACTAAAAATAGAGCATTCTACCCACAAGATACATTTTGGGGAACTTTTTCCACAAGGCACAGACAAACTCGTGGCCCTGCAAGTGTTAATTTGGTTGGCTGGCTGAGAAGAACAGTGATGGCAATATTGTCAGCTTCAGCTTAAATATGGTGGGTTTAAGTTGAAGCTGACAAACTCTGAAGTGTTTATTCTGTGGTTTGAGTGAAGATATTAGTCTGTCTTGGGTTTTGTTTTGCTTCCAGAAAAGGAATTCCGCTCCTGTTCCTTCAGCTCCCCAACCACCACTGCAGGCACAGCTCAGGGATGGAGAAATAAGACCTGTTCACTTACCCTCAGTGTAAATACCCCTCCTCTACTATTTTTACAGAGATCTGGCCCAGGGAAAGAATGTGGTAACATCTGTGGGATCTCCAGACAGGAATAAACATGTCAGCTCTGGAGCTGGGGAGGCAGCGGGATCGCGCTGCCGTCCTTGGGTCACTCCTCACTGCTGCTCTCATTGTGACTGTCCACAGTAAGTGAATGAGTCCCTCAGGATAAACTAAGATCCTTTGAAGGACAACCTTCTCCTGGCTTTCACAAGGCTTGGATCCTTCTCTTTTCCTCACTGCCTTTGCGTTTCAAGGGTGTTGTAAATCTTTGTGATCAGAATCCATCTTCCTTTGCCTTTCTTTCCTCTCTGTGGAAAGCAGATGGAAAATTATTCTAGCTGAGAAAGTGCAATAATTATTAGTAACAGGGGAGAAAAAAAATGCTTAATCTGGACTTTGTGACCAGCTTTTGAAACTTCTGGGTGAGGAGCAGGACCTGGAGGGGTGATGCTCCTCCTGGTCCCTGCCAGCCACAGTCACAGGCTGCACTTCTCCTCTTTGCTTTGAGGAGTCTTTGGGTGCTGAAATGTCCTCACCTGGACGTTCAAAGTGAATCAGGCCTTAAATCCCACTGGTTTTCCTCCCAGCACTCTTCTGATGGAGCTCCTGTCCATAGGTCTCTGCGATGCTCCGCCGCGTCTCCAGTCTGCAGAGCTGAAGGAGCAGTACCAGAGCACTGCCTCATTTCCCCACAATTCCAGGGTGGAATATGTCTGTCGTCCAGGTTATATGAGAAATAATCATGTCAGCAATGTCCTTGTTTGTGGACTAAGCGGGAGGTGGCACGGATCAAGGGACATGTGCACAGGTGAGTATATTTTGGGTTGACTTGGTCTTCCTGGTCTAGTGAAAGGTGTCCCTGCCTGTGGGAGGGGGTTGGAACAAGATAAACTCTTAAGGTTCCTTCCAACCCAAACCATCCTGTGGCTCTATGACTTCTGATGGTTTTTGTTTGCTGATGCTGGAGCAGCATCCAAAGTATCCATAGTGAGCCCAGGGGATGGTGGGCAATGAGTGACCTGACACGAACCACTGGTTTTATTCCAATAAGTACTGGCAATGATGGCAGGAGCTGAAATCTCCTCTGATGCTGGCTGTGTTTCACTGCTGACTCAAAGGATGCACTTTGTAACTCTTGGGTCAAAAAAAAAAGTGTTTGACTTGCAGTAGGAGAATCCTTTAGTTGTGAGGAGACAACTAAACCAGTGTTACTGCAAACCCTGCTTAGGCTGCAGAGGCAGCAGGTCATGATGCGAGTCTTGCCAGCATCTTGAAACATGAAATAATTTAGGGTTGGAGGGGAAATCTGGAGGTCTCTGGTCCATCCCTTTGCTCAGTATTGGAGGAGTCTTTAAGTAAGAGCTGACTGAGTGCTGTTGTCCCCAGCCAAGCATTGCACCTACCCCGGAGAGCCGCCCAATGGCAGACTCGTCCTGGGAGAGGACCTCAGTTTGGGTTCTTCAGTGAACTTCACCTGCAACACTGGGTAAGCCAAGAGCACCTGGGGCACAGGGCCTCTTCTTCTCCGGCTGTTTTTCCAAAGTTTTTCCCTTCTAGATTAAAGCCTGTGCTGTCAGAAGCTTCACTGGTGTAGGTAATTGCAGACCCTGATTGAAATATGTTTTAAACTTTGAGAACTTTAGGACTGACTGAGTGTCTTAAACTCCTCCTTTGAGGCAGTTCTTCACAAACTCATGTTCATTCTCCTGGCTCTTTCCAAACCATTCCCAATGTTTCAGTATCTTTTTGAAGAAAAGGCATGAACACTGAACTCAGAGCTGTAGGGATGGCTACAGCCAGCTGATAAGGTAGATATTTTTCCTTAGAAATGTCATTTTTTTAGTTTAAAAAATGCTTTTGCCAAAAGCCAGCATGTCCTTGAAAAAAATGACACTGATGGCCAATTTCTGATCTGCTGTAATTATGACAAATAAACCCAAAGCATCCTGATGGTGATATTATTGATGATAAATTAAAACTAAATTTGCCAAGCAATTCCCTCTCCCCTGTTCCACACAGGTACAGACTGCTTGGAAATTCTAAGATTACTTGTGTGATTAAAAATGGGGCTGTTACGTGGGACAGAGATATTCCCATGTGTGAGGGTAAGTAGAGTTCCTTAATTATCTATTATCTATCCTTTAATTATCTGGAGTGTGACTGGGGCTGGATAAAGAAGCTGTTGCTGAGGATTTTGGCATTTCAATGCGTGGTGGAACCTGGAAAGACATTTTTAATTTGTGTTTTCCTTCCTGCATCATCCTGCAGAAATATTTATTCGCTCTCTGGGAGTGAGGCAGCTGCATGTGAGACTGGGATATCACAAAACCATTCAGTGCCTGGTCAGAACTGCTGCCTTTGGGCTGGTGTGCAGCACCCTCAAGACCTGCCCTTAATTTCTGACCCTTCTGGCACCTCGTGTTTGAAATTTTTTCTTCCCAGACCTTTGGTTTAAAATCAGTTAAATAATTTCTCTCTTCCTCTTTCTTCCCAACTACCATTTCCCTCCAATTCCACAGCGATTCCGTGTGAACCCCCCCCAGAAATAGCTGATGGGGAGCACAGTGGGGTTGACAAGGAGCTCTTTGTGTACGGAGAGTCCGTCACGTACCGGTGCCGAAGTGCCAGGAGGGCAGAGAGACCTTTATCCCTGCTGGGAGAAGCCTCTATTTTCTGCACAACCACGGACAATGTCAATGGTGTGTGGAGCAGTCCAGCCCCAGAATGCAAAGGTGAGCTGCTGCCACGCCCAGGGCCGGGTGTGAGCCTGCTTGTGGCAGCACCAGCCCCTTCACAGCCCCTGCTCCTGCTCTGCTCAGCTGTTTTCCTCCTTGGAAGCTTCTCTCTCCTTCATCCTGCTGGAATCACCTCTTGCAGATGAGACCCTGTGAGTCTGGTAGCTGTAACAGGAGTCAGTCTCCCATCATGATCATCCTGTCAGCAAGGACATGGGAATGGGATTTTATTCGTGTTCACAGACCAGATGATGCATCTTACCTGCTGGTCTGTGTAAAATGTAACACCTCCAACACCTGCTGTGACACCTGCTGCCTTCCCTGTGTTCTTATGATGCTTTGCCTTAATAAAAAAATGCTGTAAAGTGGAGTAAGATGTACAAAGATACCTCGTCAGCTGCCTGGTCACATCCACCTTCAGCCTTTTTGGTGGATGTGCCTTTAGCAATAAGAATGTTTTTAACACCCTCATCTCCCCTCTTGAGCCTGACTGCTGATTCCCTGCGTTTCCCTGGCACAGTGGTGACCTGTGAGCCTCCAAGGGTGGCGAATGGGAAGCTGCTGAGTGGGTACAGGTCTGAGTACACCTACGGAGACACCGTCGTGTTCGACTGTAACTTCCGCTACACCTTGAACGGCAGCGATGCTTCCACGTGCAGGGACAACAACTTCTGGGACCCCCCCCTGCCACTCTGCCAGCTCAGTAAGTGTGATGGTCCCACAGCTGCTCCACCTGCTCCAGCAGCTTTGCTTTGGGGAATTGTAAAATCATTAAGGTTGGAAAACACCTCCAAGGTCATCGAGTCCAAATTTCGACCGAATCCCACCATGCCCACTGAAGTTCCCATCTAAAAAAGCACGAGGTCATGAAAGGGATGGCTCTAAGATTGAAATTTTTGGGGGTTTTTTGGGGAGGCAAATCTCTCTGTAGCACTAAGGTGACTTTAGGAATTTATGACTTGGGGCCATAGAGAATAAAGCCTCATCCTGTTCAAGCTGGAGAGCATTTCTCACTAGAATTCAAAGGGACTAAATTAACCTTTCTATATTTAATGTTTTCAGAGTTTGTCGTCAGAGCCTCAGATAATATAAACTTGATTAGAAATTGCATCTCATTGTAACAGTGAAAATTACCATGCAGTCCAAAATCATAGAATGGTTGGAGTGGGAAGGGACCTTAAACCTCATCTCATTCCATTTCCCTGCTATTCCACTAGCCCAGGTTGCTCAGAGCCCCATCCAGCCTGGCCTGGAACACTTCCAGGGGTGGGTCAGCCACAGCTTCTCTGGGCAACCAGTGCCAGGGCCTCCCCACCCTCACAGGGAAGAATTTCTTCCATGTATCTGATCTAAATTCAATTTAAGGCTGTTACCTCTTGTTCTGTCACTCCATGCCCTTGTGAAAAGTCTCTCCAGGGAAAAAACCCATATTTGCATGTCCTCATTTGCCTCCTCCACCATTCCTGAACTTGGATGATTAAGTGCATCTCAGAATGAACAACATGAGCCCATGATTTTTACCCAAATTCTCTTGTACCACCACAGGCCTTGTTGCTGTGCCACTGGCAACGTCCCTAAGTTGGTGTCTCCCCCCCAGGTAGCTGCAATGACCCTCCAGATGTGTATAACGCCATTAAAGCCAGACTTGCTGGCAATCTGTTCCCTGTGGACACTGTGGTCACCTATGAGTGCCTGGAGGGCCACCAGTTCAGCGTGGGAGAAACCACGCGGAACATCCGCTGTCGGCCGAACTTCACGTGGGATGAAATCCCCCCACCATGTGAAAGTAAGTGTTTGTCCCTTTGGCTCGCCTGGGAGCTGCCAGAATTATTGCTGAGTGAAGGAACTGCACGTGGAGAGTGAGGTGGGGGGAAAGGGGGATGCTCCAGAGGCCCAGCTTGGCGCCGCGCTCGTCTTTGCTGTGACTCTTGATTTATTCTGATTTATTCCCCGGCTGCAGAGTTTTCTTTGCTTTATTCACCAGCTCTGCTTTCTAGTCCCTTGAACCTCTGGAAAAAGCCATTGTGGTGTTGAGGGTCCCTTGTTCCATCCAGCAGGGAGGCTGCATGGCAAACATTCCATCCCCCAGGATGGCCCAGGGGTGGGTTGGGGGCAGATTTAATGTCGTGATATGTCTCTGTCCTACAAAGCATTCTTCCTTCTGCTCACAACGAACCTGCTGTCACCCAGTTGGCTTTGCCGTGGTCTCACACTTGCTAACCTGTGGCATTTCCCAGGAATTCGTTGCCCAGATCCACACATCCCAAACAGAAAGCACACATGGTACGAGAGAGACAATTATGTGTATGAAAACACGTTGGAAGTTACATGCAAAGATGGGTTTGCCTTCAAAGGTCGTGGCAGCAGCATCACACTTCGGTGTATGAGTGATGGCAGATGGGATCCAGAGCCACCAGAGTGCGTTCCAGGTGGGACAGAGTTTATGAAACATGTTGATTTGGGGACTGCTTATTTTTTGACTGCAAGACTTGGGTTACTCTGTACAGGTGTAGTTGTCTACTGACATTCCCAGAAAAATCTACCTGTGGCCTCAGATGGTGATGGTAGAAGCCAAAGAGAATTTTGCTCCACTGCCACGTGTCCCCAGATCTGGTTGTCCTGTGTTAACTTGGAATACACAGGCAGCAAAAGGTCCGGGTGGATCATTATATTGCCTGGGAATTGCCTTGGAAAAAGTACAGGGTTTTGGCAGAGCTGAGCTTGTGTCTGGGGAGTTGGGGGCTGAAGGGCTGCATGTTGGAAGCTTCTAGAGGGTTAAGAGGTCCCTAGGAAGCCTGGGAGACATTCACCCAGCTGGAAGGGGATGTGGTTTGTGTTTTGGGATGGTTTGCTGACACGAGGCTTGGGAGCAGCAGATGTTCTCAATGCGTTTCCCCTCTCGGAAAAAAACGTAACAGGGTAAATACCTCACCCTGCTCCAACTCCTCACCCAGCAATGGGGCACCACAGCAGCACCCAGGAGCCCAAAAGCTCAGGGAAACCTTGCCAGGAGGAAAGAGCCTGCTGCATCTCCCATGCACTAGAGCATGGATGATTCCTTGTCCTGGCCCTTCGGGGCTACAGAGGAATCACCGAGACCTGCATTTGGATGAGAGTCATCTTTTGTCCAGGGTTTATATTTCTTGGTAACTTTTCTCCATAGAAGTCCTTCCTGGAAATACAGTGATGTCCTTTATTTCCTGCTGTTTCTAGAACCTCGGTGCCCAAAGCCAGACATTCTTCACGGAGTAGAGGTTCATAAAAGCAAAAGTGACTACACAGTGGGGACCCAAGTGCAGCTGACTTGTGATGAGGGCTTTTCCCTCTGGGGCCCGGACTCGACCGAGTGTCAGGCTGATGCAACCTGGGCTCCTACCTTGCCCTTTTGTGACAAAGGTACGTGTGACACACAGATGAGAAGAATTCCTGTGATCTCCCCTCAGCTCCTGGGGAACAGGGTGCTGATCACCAGCTCATGGGCTGAGCCAGGTGTTCTCTCCCTGGAGATGGAATCACTGAATAATTAAGGTTGAAAAACACCTTCAAGAACATCAAGTCCAGCCTTCAACTGATCTCACCATGCCCACTAAACCATGACCCCCCAGTGCCACATCCACATGGTTTTTCACTTCCAGGGGTGGTGAGTCCTCCACTGGAAAAATCCAAATATTTCCTAATATAGATGTGACCCAGGAAGGAGCTGAGGGAGAAGTGGGAGCCTTGAGCTGGCGTAAGAAGCCAGGCAGCAACTTCTTGTGAATTTGCCTGACAGCAAACACGAAGCGAACTCTGTACTGATTTCTCAGAAGCCACTTTTGAGTCTCACCTGAATATGATAGTTGCACATTTCTTTCTTATCAATTCCCTTTATTCCACAGCCTGTGGCCCCCCTCCAAAAATCTCCAATGGGCAGCACGATGGCATGGGTGGTAAGAAGTTCTACTATGGCGCCAGTGTGACCTACACCTGTCCAAAGGGTCTGTCCCTCATCGGGGATGAGTCCATCTACTGCACCTCTGATGATGGGAAGAACCTGACGTGGAGTGGACCTGCCCCAGAGTGCAGGGGTGAGTGAGTGGTTTCTCCTCTATGGATCTCCTGAAGCCAGGACCCGGCTAAGCCCCAGCTCCATAACTTGCCCAGCTCCGGGAGCTCCAAACCCCGAGTGCATTAACCAGTGCAGCTCCTGTGCCAACATCTCGACACCAGCAGCTGTTCACTGACACCTCAGGGTCTCCTTCAGCAGGCAGCTGAGGGTCAGTTGTGGCATTTGAGTACAGAGCCACTGCAGAGAGCAGCTCTGCCCTGCCTGACCTGTCCCCTGCTGTCCCTGGGCAAGGGCAGCAGCCAGACCCCGCTCCCAGCTCTGCTCTCTCCCCACAGTGGTTCGGTGCCCCAAACCCGTGGTCCAGAGGGGAAAGATGACTCCCCAGAGGTTCACCTTTCCCTATGGGGTGGTGCTGCAGTTCTCCTGTGATGAAGGCTTCGCCCTGAGTGGTGCTGCAGAGACTCAGTGCCAGGCTGATGGCAGCTGGCACCCTCCTGTGCCCACCTGCCAGCCAGGTGAGTTCCAGCCTGGGGGTGCTGCTCTGTTGTATCACCAGCGACGGGTGGGATCTGCAGAGCGTTTTCTCCTCCCTCTCCTCCCATGACATTATTCTTTGACCTGCATTTCTCTTTCAGTTCGGTGTTACAGACCCTCATGGGACCAGGATTTAGTGTTGCAGCGGAACAAATTGTGGTATGAGGTGAATGAAAGTCTGTCCTTCTCCTGCAAACGTAACGGACGGTCAGGGCTGCCTTCAAAAACTACCTGCTCAGCTAATGGCACCTGGGTACCACCTCTCACGTGTGTAAGTACCACCAACCTGCCCAACTTTTCCTGTATTTTGCCCCATTTATAGTCTGGAGTAGCCTTGGTCCAACTTCATGAAGGTGGTTGCTTTGTCACCCCGTGGTGGAATCTCACGCTGTCTTTGTTTTGGTTCTTTTAAAGAAAAAGCATGAGACCTGTGAGAAGATTCTTCGAAATAAAGCAGCTTTTGAGTGTGGAATTCCTCTGACAGAACTGAAAACCCTGCTGGAAGTCCAGAAACTCTACCTGGAGATTCAGAAACTTGAAAGGGAGCTAGAAATCAGAGCATACAGCTGACTGGTGTCACTGGTATTGTAGCAACTGTCCTCTGCGTGTTCAATAGTGATGCTGACTGAGGATTTTTTATGACTTTGTAATTTGTGCTAATACTTAAGTAGCCAAAACAGAATTTAGCAATCAGCCACAGAACAGATTTGGTCACGTGAGGAGTCAAAGTGACTTCTGACTCATTCTGTAAGAGCTCAGGGGGTTAAGTTTGTACATCACTTCATACCTTTGAAAGCTTTACATCTGTTTGCTGCACTTGGCAATGCACAGTTAGAAAGCAACTGAGTGGAAAGTAAATTGTTGTGTGGTACAAACAGGCATGGGAGTCACCAACCCTCACTCACCTCGCAGCTGCTGCACCTCTTTAGCCCAGTATAGCCCAGTGCTGCCCAGTTTATCCACTATTCATTCACCACTTCACTGCATTGTTAGTTTGCTTGTGACCAAGAGAACTTCAAAGCCTGTCTTATAGCAAAACTAAAATGCCAGGTTTTCTTCTCAAGCAGGACAGATGGATCCGAGGACACGGCAGTGCCACATTTCTGTGTGGGCACCAAGAGCAAAAGAAAGTGTAAAGGAATAAAAAAAAGGCTGGTTTTTTTTTTTCTGCAACATCCAGTAGAGGGGAAGTGCTGTGTAGACCGTGTGTCTTGTGATGGGACCAGGACTCCTTCACCACGAGGTTATAATAAAACTGCAATTGCAATGACAGCTCTGTCTGGCTTTTAATAATTCTGTCCTATCTATAGTAAGGCAAAGTATTTAATATATATTATATATATATAATAGCTATATATAATATACAAAGTGCATATAATAAATATGGCTTGATAAGCATGGAGGGTGCTGTTCTCTGGGTGTGGGGGGTGTTTGCACAGCAGCCTGCCCCTGGGTAAATGTGCTTCAGGGGTGAGGCCAGGATGCTGCAGGGTGGTTCCAGCTGTAAAATACCTTTATTCCCTCTTTTTTCCCCCAAGGGAAGAGGGCAGAGCAGCCTTCCCTCCCATGGCACAAGCTTGCTGGAGAGCTCATGGAGGGCAGCCCTGGCCGTGGGTAGGTCAGAAGGGCTGGGGAGGGGGTGGTGTCAGCGTGGCTTGCCTGGCCTGATCCCAGCTTCCCCCAGTTGCTTCCCCTTCCCCGTGGGGCTGTCAGCAGGGACAGGATTTCTCCTTCCCACGGTGCTGGTCTGGCAGCTCCTCACACCATGCCAGGGCTCCTCTGCCCCCCTGGGCAGCTCCTGGCACTGGTGGTGCTTCTGCTACAGCCGACTGGGAGCCTCGGTGAGTGTTTTCCGTCCTTCTTTTCTTTGTTTCTGTGGCTCAGCTTTGCTTAGAGGGCTTTGGGGAGATCTTTCAGCACCTAAAGGGCTCCAAGAAAGCTGGAGAGGGACTTTTCACGAGGCATGGAGTGATAGGACAGGGGGGAATGGCCTTGAGGTGAAGGAGGGAAGGTGTAGATGGGATATGTGGAAGGAATTCTTCCCTGTGAGGGTGGGGAGGCCCTGGCACAGGTTACCCAGAGAAGCTGTGGCTGCCCCATCCCTGGAAGTGTCCAAGGCCAGGTTGGACAGGGCTTGGAGCAACCTGGGCTAGTGGAAGGTGTCCCTGCCCATGGCAAGGGGTGGGATGAGATGAGCTTTAAGGTCCCTTCCAAGCCAAACCAGTCTGTAATCCTATGATTGATTCTATGATACCAAGGCTGATGCCTCACCCTGGGGCAGCCCATAGCTGTGCTAAAGGCAGCTGGTGCTTTTCAGACGTCCCACAGGCTGACCTCAAAACAGGAGAAGTGCAGGTCTGCAGAGTAATAAATGTCTCTAGGAAGGAGAATAATTTGCAGCTTCTGCCTGGAAGTTGATGGTTCTTTTAAAGAGGTCCTTTGAGAAAGTTCTCGAGTGTGCACAACCCAGCCCAGCACCTCCCTGCTCCAAGGAAATAGTGTTTGATTGTGTGGAAAGGAAACCCTACACATTTTGAGTCCTATAGATGGCTGCTCAAGATGTTGATTAACCCCTAAACCCTCTGCCTCAACTGCTGCGTTCATTAAACTGCTTTGCCTTCTCTCACCACAGGGAGCTGCAGCGACAGCTGACCCCTGTCAGTGCTGTGCTGAAAAGCCCTTTTTTTTTTTTTTTTTTGGTGATCCACAGAGGTCCAGTGTCCCATCCCTCATATTTCGAATGGTCAGCTGAAATCTGCAGAGAACTTCACCTCTGGCAGCACAGCCACGCTCGAGTGCGACCCCGGCTACACGGCCCTGGGTGCCAGCACGGTGCGGTGCCTGGCCAACGGCAGGTGGCACCCACGGGTGCCAGCCTGCACCCCAGGTACACACACACCTCTCTCCTTGCCTTTACCAGGTGTAATTACCTGCTTGTGTTTCGCTAAAAGCACGTGCAGTGCTCGCAGGAGGGGCTTGGAGGGTGGGGAGCACCGTGAGCCCTGTTGGGTGGTGCTGGGTGGCAGGACCCTCTCTGCTCTGCAGGGCTGTCCCTTACTGCAGGGCACACCAAGGGTTCAGTGTCTTGCACACAAAAGTCTGTGAGAATGCAGATCCTCATTAAGTTCACATCCTTTGGTGAATTGTCCCCGTTATTTTTCCCCCTCAGTTCACCCCATGCCCCCCTGCAGCAGGGCTGTTGCTGTCCCTCCCTTCTTCCTGGGGTTTCCACCAAAGGCAGGGCTCAGCTTCATCCCACTGGGTCCCTAGGGGAGACCTCCCAGCTCTGAGGGTCCCTGTTGTCCCCTGCTCTGTCACAAGGTCAGTGTTCCAGCCCTCCTGCTGTCGACCACGCCGACCTAAACCACCGGCACCAGTTTCTAGTCGGGACCACCCTGATCTACTCCTGCAGACACGGGTTCACTTTGATCCCTGGAGTGTCTCCAACAACTACTTGTCTTAACAATTTCACGTGGTCCGCAGTCCCAAAGCTTTGCCAGAGTAAGTACAACGTTTCCTTTGCTTTGCCAACAAAGCATCAGTTTAATAACATCGTTTTCAAAACACCCACTGGTGCTGCTGTGCCAGTGGGACTTCACTGAGCAGCTTTGGCTCTCACTTGTTATAATTTTGCTGTTCAAAGGGTGGCGTGGCTGGAAAGGAATAGCTGCAGCTCCTGCTGGTTATTTGGCTGTTCAAACAATGGTGCAGTTAGTGACATGCCATCCCCTCAGCCACAATTTATAGCTAATCACAGGGCTCAGGTCGCTCTGCCTTCCAAGGGAAGGGGTTGTTATTGCATAATTGCCATCCCTGAGCATGCCAGGTCTGATTAGAGGCATCTGGGTCAGCAAACCACCACTGAGGGACCACCCCCCACCCCCCTCATGTAAAATATCTGCTTTCTGATGCTGGTGTTCCTCAGAGGTGCAGTGTCCCATCCCAGTTATCCCCCACGGGAGAGAGATCAGCGCCAGGAAAACCGAGTACACCTTTGGGCACCAGGCAGAATTCCACTGTGACCATGGCTACGTGCTGAAGGGCAGCCAGAGGAGCCAGTGCTCGTCTGATGGGACATGGAGACCCCCCATCCCATACTGTGACAGGGGTGAGTGGGAATGGCAGGGCTGGGAATTGCATCCCGTGGGTAGGAGCAGCAGGGAGAAAACCTCTTGACCCGAGCACGACTTCTCAGAGAAGGTGTTAGGAGGAGGGGCCCAAGGCACAGTGTTAAAGGACTTTAAAGTTTTCGTGCTCTGTCAAAGCTCTAATTAATGAAATGCACTGATTGATGTGACTTGCAGCCATCTCTCAGGGCGCTGTTCAAGGTTCATGACACTCACCATTCCCTGACCCCCTTCATGAGCAGGATCGTTTCTCATGGAAAAGAGGAGGGGATAAGGGAAGGTTGGCTGAAGGGGAGGGGGTGGGAACACATGCTGTGGTACTGGGGCTGTGCTGATGGGTTACCTGGGGCAGTCTGGGAGTACTGGTAGAGCCAGAGGCAAAGCTGGCATGAAGCAAGGAGGACTTTGAGGGGAGTAACATTTAGAATGAACATGAAGAACTCACTTCTCCTGTTATTTCCCTACTTTCTGTCTCCCTTACGGAATGAAGAAATTCTTAATTTCTTCCTTTATTCTCTCACAGTTTGTGATCCCCCTCCCAAAATCACCAATGGGCAGCACTCTGCCTTGGGGACTAAGCAGTTCCCATATGGCTTTGAAGTCAAGTACACCTGTATGGAGGGTCTGTCCCTCATTGGGGACGAGTCCATCTACTGCACCTCTGACAACGGGGAGAACCTGACATGGAGTGGAGCTGCCCCGGAGTGCAGGGGTAAGTGAGTGATTTCTCCTATATGGGACCAGGCTGAAGGCAGGACCTGGGTGCTACACTCAGAACAACGGGATTAAAAGTGAGCCTGGAGATCCTCCTTCCTTCACAGGCTCGACAGCTCCAGGGTGGGGATGATCCACCTGGAAATGAGATGCTCTGGTTCTCTGACACAGGGCAGGCAGGAGGAGCAGCTTTGCCCTGCCTGACCTGTCCCCTGCTGTCCCTGGGCAAGGGCAGCAGCCAGACCCCACTCCCAGCTCTGCTCTCTCCCCACAGTGGTTCGGTGCCCCAAGCCCGTGGTCGAGAGGGGAAGGATGACCCCCCAGAGGTTCACCTTTCCCTATGGGGTGGTGCTGCGGTTCTCCTGTGATGAAGGCTTTGGACTGAGTGGTGCTGCAGAGAGTCAGTGCCAGGCTGATGGCAGCTGGCACCCTCCTGTGCCCACCTGCCAGCCAGGTGAGTTCCAGCCGGGAGCTGAGCTCGTGGCTCCTGTCGCAGAGCAGGGAGCTCGGGGTGCAGCACTTCACAGCTGTGTCCATCCTCGGGGCTCTCTGAGAACCTTCCCCTCCTTGCAGAAGAAACAAACTTCCCAAAGCTGGTGTCTACCAGGCAGTGGTTAAGTTTTTCTTGACAGTCATGTAGAAAGGAGGCCGGGACTTCACTGACTTCCTCTTCAGAGTGCACGTTCCTACCGCCAAATATCCATCTGCAGACTCTGCATGGGGTGCCTGAACAGAGACATTGCCACAAAAAAGCAAATTAGTGACAAATTCCTAACACCTCTCAGGGGCTGCTCTGACTTTCACTCTCCCCTCTTAAAGGGCCAGGGGAATTATTTTTGCTTTAACGTTTGGTTTCACAGCTCCACAAATTTAAATTCCTCCCCTCTGGCTCAGCCTTCACAAGCTTCATAGGTTTTTTTTCTGCCCCCATAACACTGACTTCCTTGCTGAGCTGCCTTCTGCTGTGGATTTTTCTTGCAGTTCTGTGTCCACAACCACGGGTGGCCTATGGAAGGCTGAAAAGCCCTTTGGATGATAAAACATGGTACCAGATCAATGAGACTGTTACTTTGGGATGTGCCCCTGGGTACCAGTTTTCAGATGATGGGAACCTGTCTTCAGAAGACTCCTGGACAGCCACATGCCTGCCTGATGGCAACTGGACACTGCTGCCCAAGTGTGTAAGTTCCATAGAACCACAGAGTGGTTTGGGTTGGAAGGGACCTTAAAGATCATCCTATTCCAATGCCCTGCCATGAGCAGGGACACCTCCCACTAGCCCAGGTTGCTCAGAGCCCCACGGTCTGACTGAGTGCCTGGGTGGATGTTCCCTGACTTCTAACATGAAAAATAACAGCTTAAACTTCTCAAAAGGTTTTTCTTCCTGCTGTGGATGAGGGATGAAGTGTTGGGGCTGTGCTGGGACAGGTCAGCCTCGGAGCTGAGGGGTGGGTGGCTCTCCATCTGCTGCAGAGCGACCTTACGAGCTTGTTTTCTGGGTTTTGTTTTACCTTTTAACAGAAGAAAGAAGGTGATGCTGATGTATGTGAAGAGGTTCACTACATTAAATCGGCCTTTGAGTGTGGGCTGCCTGTAGCAGAAGTGAAAGCTCTGCTGGAAATCCAAAAACTGTTTCTGGAGATTAAAAAACTAGAGGTGGAACTAGAAAAGTAGAGCAAAACTGGAGTCCTGTAATGTACTGCAACAACCACGTTTCCTTCGGTGAACACAGAGTTTGTGCAGTCACAGTATCTATAAAAAGGCTCTGGATGATTTTATGGTTTACTTTTGCATACCCAGAGCCAGAAAAATTATCACCAATGCACGGGCGGTTGCTTTTATCGTGTTAGATCCCAGAGCAGGGAGTGGTTTTTACTCTTTCCTTTAAATCTGACAAGCTTGATTTGCTCTTTAATTAATACGTCATTTCACGTTTTATATTAGGCAGCACAGCAAGAAATTAAATTGAGCTTCTTTAAGTCACTGTGTTAACTGTGATAAGCTGAGATAAGGGGGAGTGAAGTCTGCAGAAGCTGAGATGAGTGTCCAGAGGTTGTCTCTGAAGGTGCTTTTGCTGGAATCTGCTGGCTGTGGCTTGTGTACACCCTGCACCCTCTGCATTAGGGGTGCTAGAAATAGTGGTGAAGTAAGTGTTCAACTGCATGATTTCCTGTTAATCCAGCTGATTTCTATTCAGCTAGTTGAGGGCAGTTTTTAAGAAGGACATGTTATCTTATCCTTGGACTTAAAACAGGCAACAGGTTTCTGGCCTTGTGTTGGTGTCATCTTCCACATCCCTATTTCTGGCACGTGAATGCTAAGAATAGATGTGATAAGTTCAAGTGCAGAGAATTAGGCAGCAAAGATTGTTCCTGTTCCTCAATAAACGCTGGTCAGTTCGTGTCTGTCCGTGTTTCAGTGGTTACTCCTTCCCTGTGGGATTGCAACAAAGGTGGGGGTGTATCCATGGAGGGGGGAGGTGTCTTGTAATCTGTCATGTTGGCTGTAAATTGGGCAGATTTCCAGCGTGGTCCAATGGTCCTGGGTCAGTCCTGGGGTGCTTGGGGAGCTACAGTGGGCTCAGCACAGCCCTGAATCCTGGCAGCTGGATCAGCCCAGGCTCGGTGGGAGAAGGAGGAGAATTTACCTCCTGCACAGGTGATTTGCAGCAGTGCATCACTGCCAGATGTATGCTCTTATAAGTTACTAAAATGAAAGCAAAACACCCAAGGGGAGAGATGGTGTCTCCCATCTTTGCACACAGAGATGCTTTGGGGATGCATCACCACACCCAGGTGAGGAGATCTGCAGTGAGAGGAGCTCCCAGACCTGCTCCAGCTCTCCCTGACCAGGAGACGAGCAGGGTTGTACCCTCCCTGTGTGACACCTCACTCCCCTCCTAACTGTGCTCTCATGGGACTGTGGTGTCTTCCTGTGCAGGGCTTGACACCCATAAATGTGAATAAAAACTGGGTGGTACATCCTGCATGTGTCTGAGAGTGTGTTTGGGCAGTCCTGGCTGATGTCAGATGGGATCTGTCAGAGGGTTAATCAGGACACAGATGCAGTTGCTCACACCCGTTCCTCATTGCAAATGAGTCAGGCAACGGAGAAAAAAATAGCAAACAAAAAGGAAAATGTTTTTATTTGCTTCACTAACTCTGCTCATGGGAGATTTGTATTGCATTACCTGCCAGCAGATGAATGAGTAGGTATTTTCCTACCCTGGACACAGCTTTGGGCTGGGAGGTGTCTCTTCTGCTCTAAGAGCATGTGGTTTGGTAAAACTGTGCTAGTCAGTGCTCACTGCCAGTCTCAGGACAAATAAAGGGGTTGAGTTACTCCCCCATCCCTCATGGTGGAGCAGGAAGACCAGGAGCCTCAGGCCTGCTGGATGACAGCTGCCCCCCACCCTGGCTGCTTCCCGTGTCCCTGACAGAGAGTTTCATTCCATGGGAGTTCTGGAAAGGTTTCCACTGCTCCTGAGGCTTGGTGGAGTCTGCTGCAGTGCATCTCCTCCTCCCAGCTTTGGAAACAGCCCCTGGAGCCAACGGTGTTTGACAGAGGAGCTCAGGAATTGCTGCAATGAAGTCTGGAGAAGCAGGGCTGGGCAGGCACCCAGGCACCCTGAGCTGTGGGACACCCACCAGGGCACAGGGGCTGCTCCTGGCCTTGCTGGGGCTCCTCAGCTTGCCTGTGGCTCGTGGTGAGTATGGGGCCATGGGATGCATGGGGAGGACCAGAGAAACCTGCCTGGATCCCATCTTGCTGCTCAGGGGCTGGGGTGGGTGATGCCACCACCCCCAAGCTGAGGACCCAGTGTTTGATGCTCTCACAGCCCTGCCTGGTGCCTTCACCCACAGAGGGACCCTGGATCATCCCACCCCCATGGGATGCTCACTGGGGCCGGGGAAGGGGCCAGGGAATGGGGTTCTCACCCCAGGAGGTCTTCTCCTCCCACAGGTGACTGTGGGCCCCCACCTGTCATGACCTACTCCAGACCATCCAGTGATGAGCACTCCAGCAACTTCCCCGTGGGATCCAGAGTGACCTACACGTGCATTGAGGGTGCCCTCAAAATCCCTGGAATGCCAGACACGGTGGAGTGCCTGCCTGGCAACCTCTGGTCCACACTGCCCGAGCCCTGTGGCCGTAAATATCTCCTTCCTCTGAAACACAGCTCCTGTCTCTCTCTCTTGGCTTGAAATTCCTGCCCCTTCCAGGGGCTGCTCTTTTGCTGTCCCTGGTAAGGGACAAACCTTCTTCCCTTCCCTGCTGCTCCTTGGGGCTGTTGGTGGCTGCAGGGTCTGTGCCTCTGGGAGAGGGGCCAGTTGGAGGGGGGCTGGGTGCTCGTGTGCTGCCCCACAGCACATTCCTGAGGCTCCTGATGTCCCACTAACACTGTCCCCTGAGCACTTCATGCCTCTCCCCCCATGCTTTGGTGTATTCAGCAGCTTAGCAGGCCTGGCAAGGAGACAGGATTAACCTGCACAAGGAGCTCTCCAGCAGCACTGCAGCGAGGGCACCCCTGTGATCCCAAGGTTTATTTTGCACGCTCCTGGTGGGCAGCTCTTTCAGGCCAGCTCTCCTTGGCTGCCAGGGAGCTGCACTGCCCCGACCAGGTTGAGGTTTGCTGCCCTGTCCAAGGAGGATGAGGTGATGAACTTCTTCCCTGTGGGCACCAACGTGACCTATGTCTGCCGTCCTGGCTACGAGAACACCTCACAAAGCTCCCCCACCAGCACCTGCCTTGAGAACCTGACGTGGTCGGAAGCTGCTGAGCTGTGCAGGAGTGAGTATCCCAAAAAGCAGCCTTGGATCTCAGAGCAGGTTGAGTGGCTGCTCCCAACCTGCATCCCAAAATGCAGCCAGGTCATTCTCATCCCAACAGCTCCATTAATACAATATGAGGTGGATATTCCTTGACATTTCTATTTAAAACTGAACAGCAGAAGCAGCAGAAGTATCAGTAATGTTCCATGTTCCTTTTTTTTTTTCTGCTGGTATAAACAGATATGGTTTGATTTTCACGTTAGGAAATGTTTGGTTGGACTTGATCATCTTAGAGGTCTTTTCCAACCTTAATGAATTTATAATCCCAAAGATGTTTGCATTGGGCACATGCACAGGACAAAGTCTAACTCACTATTCTAGTGAACTTCAAAATGAAAACAAGGCGTGTTTCTTGGTGAAATCCATGGAATATTAGGACTGACGAGGTGACAGCAATATTTTTCCTGTCCCTGATCCAGCCTTTTTTCTTTCCCCATCACCCTGTGCCCTGGTTTGTCCCCCCAGGAAGGTCCTGTGGTGCCCTGGCAGCGCTGCCCGGGGGGAGGACGGTGCCCCTCACAGACCTGCAGTTTGGTGCCAGAGTGGAGGTGTTCTGTGAGGATGGGTGAGTGATGGGGCACTGCCCACACCGGTGCTGATGCTGGGATACAGCTCTGGAATGAGACACAGCTGGAGGGAAGGGACCAGGGTCTGATTTGTGGCTGCCTTTTCCTTCAAGTGCCCAGCCAGAGGAAGTTTAACTGCCCCAGGGCAGGGTGTCCATCCTAACAGAGACATTTGTACTGTCAGTTTATAAATATAGGCTCCAAAACAAGCTACTTAAAACATTTCAGCTTAAGATATTTGTGATGTATTGAAAAAAAAGGGGTTGTGGTGGAACTTTTAAAATCCAGTTATGCTCAGCTGGGAGGCTGCAGTGAAGCACTATTTCCATCACTCAGGGGGCTGACTCATGGCTGCTGCCTGCTTTCAATCAGGGCCCATGAGCACTGGACAGACCTGAAAAATCCAGCTCTTGCCACTCCAGCCAGTATTCCTCCCTCCCAACAGGAACTAGCTGGCATCATCTGGCTTGTCATGCCCATCTTCAAATATAGCAGAGGGGTTTTTTCCTCTCCCTCGGGTCTTGGAGAAAATGACAGCATGTCCCACCCTTCTGGGGTTCAGCTCATCTGTGGAAATCCACACCAGGGTGGAGGGATAATGCTGTTCATCTGAGCAAGGTCAGATACCACCCAGCATGTCCACATGATGAGGTTTTCTGAACAGGAGGATGTAATTCAGAGATGGGGGAAGGTGTCAGCTGTCAGCACAAGATGTATGAACTTCCAGCAAGCCAATGCAAAAGCCACCTTAATTAAATGTAGATTGATCCCTGTTGCCCCTCACTGGTCCCTGCTGTGCACAGTGGATGCATTTGAATCATAGAATCACAGACTGGTTTGGGTTGGAAGGGACCTTAAAGATCATCTTGTTACACCCCCCTGCCATGGCAGGGACACCTTCCACTAGCCCAGGTTGCTCCAAGCCCTGTCCAACCTGGCCTTGAGCACTTCCAGGGATGGGGAGTCCACAACTCTCTGGGCACGGATCAGCTGAGAAGGTGCACCAGCCATCCACTGCTGTTTGATTTTTTGCAAAACTTCAGCAAAGCAGCCACAACACCTGACACCCCAAACAAGGTGCCGGGCAGGAGGTGGCCCTGGGGGACACTGGACACCCTGCCCTGCCCCTCCAGCACCGAGGGCTTCAGCAGGGCCAGTGAAGTGACCCCAGTGAGCAGCAGATGGGCTGAGCCCCAGCAGGGAGCTCCTCCCTCCTCACCTCATCCCGCTGGGAGACAGCAGCGTGGGAAAGGCTCTGGCTGCCGGCAGCCTGGATCCCAGCGCTGTTCTCCAGCGGGAAGCAGGCAGGGAGAGACAGTCCCTGACTCAGCAAACCCGAGCCCGGTGCATCCGTGTGGGAACCCACATTTAAACTCGGTGCTGTCTGGCATTCCCTGAGTGCTCTGCCAGCCACCAGCCCCGACTTTTCCCAGCCCTGCCGTGGAAGATGCACTGAGTCAGAAAACCACCTAAAAATAGATGAACACACGTTCTGGCAGAGCAAGGCGAGGAGCTCTCCTGCTAACCAGTGTGGGTCTGCACCTCTGCTTGCTTTAAAACTGCCTTTTCTACATTCCTGATATATACATATGGAGAAGAGGGGAAGTATTCTCAATTTCTGGATAATTACACAGTTTTTTCTGTGTGTATCTTCACTTAGGTACAAATTAGTTGGAAATAATTTCATCTGGTGCCAGCTTAAAGGAAACGACGTTGAGTGGAGTCAACTTCCAACCTGTGAATGTAAGATTCATCCTTAATTGTAAGATTAAACCTTACTTTTGACTTAACTAGATCCTGCATCCCAATGTCTAGTCCAAAGATGTCTTTCTGTAGTGCTTTTGTTGATATTCTGTGGCCCACCTGTCCCCAAAACTGCAGCTGGCACTATTTCAGCAGTTTTGCTCCCACAAGACCAACATATTTTCTCATGACTTAAAAGCTGCAGTGAAGGTGGTGGGGTGAGATTTCCAGGAATCCTGAGCTAGGGCACGGCCTGCTTATTTTTTGTGACCCTTGTACAGAGAAGAAGAAAGATGTGACTAGAGAAACACTAAAAAAAAAAAAAAAATTGGGACAGGCAGCAGTGCTAGTTGCCCATCTAGTTACAGCAGTGCTGGTTACCCACCTTCAGTTGTCCAGGATGTTTATTGTCTTCAAGAATCTTGGGTGGGCTCAAGAAACATTTCGTATTTTCATTATTACCGAAGCTTTTAGCAAACACTCGTGTCGTCCTCTTTCCTGCAGTGATTACCTGCTCTTCACCTCCTCAAATCAGCAATGGGAAGCATGATGGTGAAGGTGTGGAAAATTTTGCTTATAACTCAACGGTGACATACAGCTGTGCCCCTGGATTCCAGCTCCTTGGGAATGGGAGCATCCGCTGTACGAGCACGGACAAAACCAACGGAGTCTGGAGCGGGGCTGTGCCCAAGTGCAAAGGTGGTTTCATCCCAATTTTCTCTTTATTACTATTTAGCATTTATTATGAGCTCGGTATTTAGGACGAATCAGCTCAAAATATTGTGATTGTGTGGTACAGGGCATGTCAAACGTCAGTAGTAAGGCAATTTTAAAGAGGAAAAAATGCAGTGCTGGAGTAAGAACAGAACTGTGCAAGCAAGACCTAGTGCTCCCTGCAATGCTCACTCTTTATCCCCTAGAGAAAAGCTCAGCTGTCAAACTTGGAGCAAAAGACATGGAAAGGAGTGTCCCTCCCCAGAGTGAGTTGAAATGATTCAACACTGAACCCAGTCCCGTTTAATTTGCTCCTTTATCACGTTTCTGTGAAAAGGCCATTCAAGGATCTTCACACCGTGGATTTTGTTCTTTCAGGGCCCCAGGGAAATGGCATCCAACCCCCTAAGAAGGCTTTATCATGGGAGAGGAAGCTCAGCCTCTATAAGAAGTCACTCCAAAATACCATCTCCTCCTCCCATTTTGTTTCTGTATCCAAGACACCAGGTCAGTCCTGGAAGCTCATTTGGAGATCGGGGAAATTCCTCAGTGGGACTCCCTGGTTACTCCCAGCCCCAAAACCTGGAGTTTCTATTTTTTCCCCATGTCTCCCTTCAGTGTCCAGGAGCTGTGCTACCTCAGCATTCAGGTTTGTCCTACCTTTGTACAAATCCCAAAAACACTATTCTCCTGGGACCAGCAAAGGATCCGTGTGTCCTCCGAAGTACATGGGGATCTCTGGCATTCTCCCCAAATCCAGCTGCTTTCAGAACTTAAAACTCTCTAAAGTTGCATCATTTTGTGCAAGTGAGTGATTTTTTTTTTTTTGCCATATTCTTTTGTTCTGTAAGTTTTCCCTGTATAATTTATACCCTTTGCTGGCTGGGCATCTGGTTCACAGCTCAAGTTTGACTGCACTGACTTCCCATTCTTAAAAAAGCTTTGCTTATTATGAAATATATATTTATCAATTGTTTCCTTGCCCTTATGCTATCCCAGATAATTTTTTAACTCTTTTTTTTTTTTTTATGGCCATTTTGAAAAGCAAGAGATGACTTTGCACCACCTTAGGAGTGCCAGGGCTCCTGCCCTTGCTCCCAAGGGCTGATGCCAACCTTGTTCCACACAGAGAGGTCATGGGCAGCCAGGAGAAGCTGGACATGGCAGAAGTGCTGCTACACCACATTCCCCATCCGCTGCAAAGGATTATTTTACCCAATGAAAGGGTGAATTTCGGCTCTGTTGGACAAGGTGGGAGCTGTAAGTGTGTTGTTGTAAGTAATGAAGCCAAAACACCCACTGGAGGGTCTCCCTACCTGGCCAGAGGGGGGGTGAAGAGTGTTTCTCTGGTGTCAGGGTCAAGCTGAGTTTGCCCACCCCTGATTTGTGTCTCTTGGGTCAAAACCAGAAAATCTGTTACCCCTCCTGTGGTGGACAAACCAACACTGGAAGGATAAAGCAGGAAAACCCTTTGCCTGATCTGCTCCAAAATTGCCCCGTGCAGTGGTTGCACTTGTTAGGGTTCTTACACTTTGCTTTAAGACAAAGAATGAGCTGGATCAGGTCTGTCCCACATGTAAAATGTAATTTTTTACCGGTGATGTGTTTTTAAATGTTCCCAGAAATTGACTGAAAATCACTTCTGCAAGCATTGGTTGATCCCCATATTTTCCTCTCCCACCTGAGTTTTTCTTTCAGCAATTTTCTTCTAACCCCCTGAATCCTGCTGTGATTCCTTGCTGATCTGACCAGCCTTTTTTTTTCAGACTGCAGTTTCCCAGAAATCCCCCCCAGAAGTTCTGCAGGACTTCTGCAGAGCTCAGTTACGTCACAACCCCCCTGACTGAGTGTTTCCACAGCCACAGGTTTTTTTGCTCACTAGCAACCGCCCTAAACACAGACCCAATCTCTCTGAGGAGCTGAGCTGCTCCCTCAGCTTCCCAGGAATTTCTGGATGTGGATACACCCATGGCAGCTGCCCTGAGCAGGGCTGTACTGAAATCAAAACTTGCAGAATTATGAGCTCATTTCTTTTAGGAAGTCATAGAGTTTTAGACATTACACTGAACATTGGTCTTTATATCTTTGGTAGTTTAAGCCCCTTCTTTAGCAAAAGCTGCTTTTTTTTTGTATCAGACCTAAGTTCTTTGAAGTTTATATTTCTACTACAGGAAGATAAAGCCACAAGTGGGCTGGGCATCTCCTAATCTCATAACATAAAGGAGCTACTTCTGCTTTCCAAAGGGAGGAAGGCAGCTCAGTAATGCTGTGAGCACCCTGACTACTCACAGACACAGAAATACAACTGCTAAATATCCTGCCCAGTGTTGTCACACTGCAACACAGAGACTGGAAATGTCACCTTCACGTTGTTGGCTGCTCACCCCATCTTTGTCCTGTTCAAAACACTAAAGCCTTTCTGGGATTTTATCTGCATTTAGTAATAAATGGTAATTGTTTGTAAAGGACAGTCTGTGAGTTCAACTGCCTGCTATTCCCTTGTCATGTTCTAGTCTCTTTTCAGGAAGGAATCAGCTTTTAGGAATATCCTGACAATGTTCAGATTTGCTGTTCAGTCAGTTCTTTATCAGCACTCTGAACATTTATTTTCTAAGTTAGATGTGGTTTTTTTAAAAAATTAGTAAAGAAAGCAAGCAAATCCATGCAGTAAAGCTTGGGAATGTGAGTGTTTCTGGTAAGTGCTCTGGAAAAGGAAGCTTGAGTGTTGGATACCTGCCTTAATCCTATTTAGCCATCGTAGGATAGAGATCTGCAGCCCCTCTGCTGGGGCTCAGCCCAGGGATCAGTCCCAGAAGGTTTTGGGAGCTGAGGGCGATCTCCCAGGCTGCTGCCAGTGGGAGCAAGCAGGAGGGAGCTGAGGGTGAGTTTCCATGGAAAGCCTGGAGCAACTCCAGCAGCTCAACCTCTGTTTTTCCTGGCCGGTTTTGCCGGACACCTCCCGCTGCCGCAGCCCTGCACCAAACACGGGTCAGGCTGCCCTCTGGACGTGCTCTTCTTCTGCCACCACCATCTGCTTGGCCCGATTTCTGCAGGGAGGGGATGTGGGAGTCAGATAAAGCTGGTGGCCCTCGGTGGCTGCAGCAGGGCAGGCACAGACCTGCTATCACCGGGCTCAGCTGCCGGGCGGGAGGTGCCGGCGCTCGGCCGGTTACTGGGGCAAAACGGGGCAGCAAATGTGGGTGCAGAGGGCCAGGCTGGTCTGAGCCTGACGGTGGGGCAGGTACAGGTGTCTCCTGCAAGGCCTCAGGCAGGAAAACAGCCTGGCTCAAGGGTTCAGCCTGTCAGCAAGGGGGATTTCACTGAGCTGAAGCCGCAGCGCTCGGTTCTCCCGGTGTAAGTGGATCTGAACCGCTCCCTGCGGAGACTCGACACTACCTGGAGTCTTTGCCAAATACTTTTCAACATCTCCATGTTCCACGCTGAAGTCACTGCCCAGAATTCAGAGTGTTGGGGTTTTTTTTCCTGCTAACAGCTTCCTTTTGCTTTGTGCAGTCACCATCCCCCTTCAGGCCTCTGCTCACCAGTGGCCTGTAAAAATATGTGGCCAAGGTATGTCCATATAATTCCTCATCCCCCTCCCAAGTATGTATTTCAAAGGAGGACCTTACCCAGGCTGCCTGACTCCTCCCTGGGTCTCATTGCAAATGATTTCTTTACATCTGCTTGGAGCTTAAATTTTATTGGAAAGGAAAATAAAGTGGAAAGAAAAAACTAAAGTAAAACAGGTAAGTTTGAGCTTCTCAGTGGAAACATCACTGTTTCCTGCACAGCAAACAGGAAAGTGCAGGTTTGCTGCTGACTGCCCTTTGCTCGGTGTGGGAGCACTGCTCAGCAGAATGGGATGAGGCAGCAAACACAGCCACAACCTTTCCTCTGGCTTTTCCCTCGAGCCCCATAGGTGGGGATCCCAGAACAGCTCCACTTTCCCCATATGGAGCCAAGGCAAACTGCTCCTGTGCCTGACCAGGCCTGAGGACACACCTGAGCCTCTTTGGGCAGCGCAGCATCTCCTTCAAAGAGTTTGTAGTCTAACTGGGAGAGTTACAGTGGGAACACTGGTATCCCCACTACCTGTGCACAGGGGTTAATAGAAGCAGCCCAATTAGCAGCTTCAAGGTGGGGCTGATTTAAAATTCTTTGCTCTCTTCTGGGCACCTCTGGAGCTGGAGGAAAGCCCTTGTCTCTCCTCTGTTCTTACAGAAAAGCCTCTTTCCATGGAGGTTTGTTCTTAGGGACAAGCAGGTGATGTTTGAAGGTGGTTTGGGGGTCTGGCAGGGTCTGGTGCCCCTGAGCTGTGCTGGGCTGAGCCAGGTGCTGCAGGAGAGGGCAGGTGGCACCAAGGAAGAGTCAGCTCTTGTCCCCACATGCAGCAGAGCCAGTGCTGGGGGACGAATGCATTCTTCACCCCCAAACACACACTCTGGGATGTGCCCCAGGGTCCACAGTCAGAGCCAGCAAGACCCCCCAGGCTGCCCTTTCTGGTTTGGGTCTTTTCCTTTGGGACTTGACAGCTTTGGAGGGAGGGGTGTCTTTACCGGCAGGTGCAGAGAAACGATGCGAGGGAGAGGCCGAGGTACCGAGTGCCCGCAGAGCCCCGCTGCATTCCTCGGGATGCCAGGCGTGCCCCGCGGAGCCGGCACGGGGGGGGAACCGCGTCTTCCACACCCACTGCCCACCGCAGGCACGGGTTTCGTCAGAGAATTTCCCGGAGCTGAGGTGGCCGGGCGGGGTGCGGGGGTGCTGCGGGAGTGGCCCCGCTGCCCATCGCTCCCCGCCCCGCGGGGGCCGCCCGGGCAGTGCCGGGGAGACCCGCGATGGGCTCCGGCCGCTGCCGCTCGCTCCTGCCCGCGCTGCTGCTGCTGCTCGTGCTGCCCTCGGCGTGGGGTGAGCCCTCGGGGAGGGACTGGGGGTGCGGTGAGCCCTGACACCCTGTGTGTGTGCTCCGAGTGAGCGTGTGGTGTGTTTGAGTGTGTGCGTTCCATGCGGGTGTGTGCCCTCTGTGTGTGTGCATGTGCTCCATGTGCTCCACGTACATGTGTTTTGTGAGTTCCCTGTGGGTGGGTGTGTCCCCTGTGGGGGTGTTATCCCTCTGAGTGTGTGTTACCCCTGTGTACGTGCTCCTGGGGCTGTGTGTGCCCTGGATGTGTGTATGTGCTCCGTGTCCATGTGTTCCGTGTGCTCCGTGTGTTCCTTGTGGGGGGGGTGTGTGCTCTGTGTCAGTGGATGTGTTCTCTCTGTACATGCGCTCAGTGTGTGTGTGTGCTCTGTGTGTGTGTGTGCACCCCCTCCATGGACATGTGTGCTCCATATCCATGTCTGTGTGTGTGCCCCCTGTGCATGTATGTGCTCCACGTGCATGTATGTGCTCTATGTGCATGTGTGTGCTCCCTGTGCATGTATGTGCTCCTTGTGCATGTACGTGCTCCATGTGCATATATGTGCTCCCTGTGCATGTATGTGCTCCTTGTGCATGTTTGTGCTCTATGTGCACGTGTGTGCTCCCTGTGCACGTGTGTGCTACACGTGCATGTATGTGCTCCCTGTGCACGTCTGCGCTCCATGTCCATGTATATGCTCCACATGCATGTATGTGCTCCACATGCACGTATGTGCTCCCTGCCCATGTTTGTGCTCCCTGTGCATCTATGTGCTCCACGTGCATATATGTGCTCTGCATGCATGTATGTGGTCCGTGTCCATGTATGTGCTCTCTGTGCATGTGTGTGCTCCACATGCATGTATGTGCTCCATGTGTATGTATGTGCTCCCTGTGCACCTATGCTCTGTGTGGGTGCCTGTGCTCTGTTTGCATGTGCTCCATGTGTGTGTATCATGTGCTTCACATGTTCCAGGTGTGCTCTGCTCCACAGGCTGTACCACTGTGTGTGTGCCCCACTGTGTGTGTGTGCCACTGTGTGTGTGCCACTGTGTGTGTGCCCCACTGTGTGTGCCCCACTGTGTGTGTGCCACTGTGTGTGTGCCCCACTGTGTGTGTGTGCCACACTCCCCCCCCACTCTGAGTGTGCCCTGCCTGGGGAACAGACAGGGAGGCAGCAGAAGCCCCACTAAACCCCGGTGTATTTTGCCCCAGGTGACTGTGGGCCCTTGCCCAATATCAGCCACGCAGAGCCCACAGAGGACATGAAAGACAAGCAGAGCTTCAGTGAGGGCTCCACAGTGAGGTACATCTGTGTCACAGGTTACACCAAACGTCCCTTCCTCTCCGACACCGTCCAGTGCCTCACAAACTCCCAGTGGTCCCACCTCCCGCAGTTCTGTGGCCGTAAGTATTTCCCTTTCTCTGCCTGGAGACGCTTGTGAAAACATTCAGTGCTTTGGCAATTGCTGTTTCAGGGGTTTCCTCATCAGAAGCAACACAAAATAAAGTGACTTAGACAAGGATCTCTTACTGCCCCTTTTTTTTCCTCACTCCCACTTTGGGTTTGGAGCCACGTGCTGGCATTTGTGTGCTAATAAAAATAGATCAATAGCTTGGGAATGATTCAAAGAGAGCAAATTCTAACATCTAAAACTTTTTGCATTAAGTAGTCATCTGGGAATGTCTTCTGATAGAATCCTACAATGGTCTGGGTTGGAAGGGACCTTAAAGCTCATCTCAGTCCACCTGGTGGAAGGGACACCTTCCACTAGCCCAGGTTGCTCCAAGCCCTGTCCAACCTGGCCTTGAGCACTTCCAGGGCTGGAGCAGCCACAGCTTTTCTGGACAACCTGTGCCAGGGCCTCCCCACCCCTATATAAAGAACTTTCTCCTAATATCCAGTCTAACCCTGCCCTCTCTCAGTGTGAAGCCTTGTTCCCCTTGCCCTGCCACTCCATATAAATAGTCTCTCTCCATCTGTTGGTAGGTTCCTTTCTGGTTTAATTACACAAATTACTCATCACCTTCTTAAAACTATTTGTGTTATCCATATTCTTTAGTGAGGCTTGTTTGTTATCACCCGGCTTTATGTTTATACACAGTTGAGAATGCAAAATATTGTTATTTTTGCTTTGTAACTGACATTCTGTTTGTCTCTGTTGCCAGGTAGCTGTCCCAGCCCTCCATACGTGCCATTTGCTAAAATATCACAGGAAGATCAAACACAGAATTTTTATCCTGTTAATACCACGGTGAAGTACATTTGTCGCCCAGGCTTTGAGAATACCACAGACCAGCTCCCCACCAGCACCTGTCTGGACAACTTAAAGTGGTCAGAAGTCCCTGAGCTGTGTAGGAGTGAGTGTCTCCATGTAATTTTATTTTCTCCAATGCTGTGTTCCTAGTGCCACGTCTGTATTTTAGAATTGCTCTTTTTTAATGACATTTAATGTGAAATACCACCAGTCTCCTGGTTTGCTGCTGCCATAATGTCACCCCCAACCTTGTGGTGTCCTAAGGATAATCTCTCTCTTTTCCAGGGAGATCTTGTGGTATTCCAGCCAGTCCAGAACATGGCAAAGTTATTACAGATGATCATCTGCTCGGTGCAAAAGCCACTGTGGTCTGTGACCGTGGGTGAGTGTGAAGCATCCCAGTTGCCTGGCCAGAGACACTGGTGGGTGAACTGGGACATGGGGCTCTGCCCATGTGGAGTCCTTGGCAACTCTGGTGGCACATTCTTGGTTGGTGACAACAAACTTTAGGATGTGCCTTTTCTCCCTGCAGGTACGTCCTAGAGGGAGGGTCACCTTCCATCTTTTGTACCCTACGGGGAAATGAAGTTGTCTGGAGTCAACTTCCAGCTTGTCAGGGTAAGTGAAGTTGTCCAGTGCTTGACGGAAATACCAGATATTCCAACTCAGGAATACTGAATCTTTTGTTGATTTTACTATGTCCTGCCCTGGGCAGGGGCACCTTCAACTATCCCAGGTTGCTCCAAGCCCCATCCAACCTGGCCTTGAACACCTCCAGGGATGGGGCAGCCACAGCTTCTCTGGGCAACCTGTGCCAGGGCCTCCCTACCCTCATGGGGAAGAATTTCTTCTGTGTATCTAATCTAAACCTTCCCTCCTTCACCTTGAGGCCATTTCCCTTTCTCCAGTCACTACGTGCCTTTGTCCAAAGTCCCTCTCCAGGCATCTTGAAGCCCCTTTAGGCACTGGAAGGGGCTCTAAGGTCTTCCCAGAGCCTTCTCTTCTCCAGGCTGAACAGCCCCCCCCCTCTCAGCCTGGAGAGTTCTCCCATCATGAAGACCATCCCAGGGGCCACCTGCTGAACTCTTTTCTCTTCTTCCCACAGCTATTTCTTGTCCTCCTCCTCCAGCCATTCCCCACGGGCAGCACGATGGCAACAGCACAGAGAAGTTCCTGTATGACTCAGTCACCACCTACACGTGTGACCCCGGGCTGGAGCTCGTGGGGAACAAATCCCTCCGTTGTACAACAGAGAACGGGGTCCTTGGAGTCTGGAATGGGGCTGCTCCCGAGTGCAGGGGTGAGCACTGCTGGGCAATCACCCCGTTCTCCACTGCTTCGTTCTTGCCGTGCAGATAATTACTCCTAATTCCCTCCTCTCACAAAGGGAAGGACCCCAGTCTGGACAGACATTCCATAGGGTTTGTCTCCAGGGCAGCAGGGTCTGTGTGCAGCAGGGATGTGCTCTGCAAGGTGCCAGGCTCTGCCCAGGGGCACTGTGAGCACAGCTGGACCTGCTTTTACATTTTTCCCTTCAAGAGGAACAGGCAGAATTTTGACTGAAAACATGTGAAGTGCATCAGTAACTGCAGAGTTGGGGGAGTGAAGGGATTTGTTATCTCATGTCCAACAACACCTGGGCAATGAAGCCAAGTGGGACAGCAGACTGTCCCCAAGGATTGGAGTGTCACCAAGAGCTCCCTGTGTGACTCTTGCACAGCTCTTGCTGTTGTAGCCTCGGATGCACCAGTCACCTGCCTATGCCTTGTTTACTCTCACTGAACTCATATATATTATATATGAATGAGGAGCATATAAAATAACACCTTGAGTGTTTTTCCTTTGTCTCTCCCCAGTTAGCACTGCAGCAGAGACAAACCAAACTGAATCCTCCAGAGGGAATCCTTACTGGCTGGGTAAGAGCTCAGTTACTAAAAACTCCTGTTAATTGCTGTAACTGCACCACATTTGGGGCTTTGTTTTTTTAACACCCATTTCATAATTTTCTTCCCTAGCAAGTATCCTCATCCCTAGTTGCATTGGTAAGTAGCTTAAAATTGAAAATATGTTTTCCTAACCCAAAGCTGTCGTTTGCTGTTAAATACCTGGAGTCAGTGGTTGACTGGGTTCACTCCCCCCACTCCTGAGTGTCTCTGGAAAGGATTCAGGGGTTTCTCTGCTGTTGGGTGATGGATCAGCTGTCTTAGTATAAAACATTAAACAAATTGAGGGTGAAATGAAAGATGCCAAAGAAACCAACCAAAACCTGCACATCCTGTCACTCTTTAATTGACAAAGTTGCTTTAAAAGGCCTTGGCAGACTTTGAAGCATGAGAGATTTGTGGAGCACAGAAAAGAGACCAAGTACTGAAAGTGTTGAGTATGTTTAAAATACAAAAGAAACAAGAAGCTGGCTATAAAAACCCTAAATAAATGAGGATCACACCCTGGACAAGCTCAGCAGGACACCAGGCTCAGCAGTGGCTCCTGTGCTCCATGCTCAGAGGCAGGAGAAGGATTTTGCAATTATCTGGCTGACAGGGAGCCCTGAGGTTGACAGACAGTGCCAGCACAGAGAATTTTGCTGCCAAAACTACAGTATTTCACTTAAATTACAGATTAAATTTGTTTATTTTTGGGGTTGGCAGGTTTTTTTTTTTTTTATCTTCTTTGTTAGTTCCTCCAGTAGCCCTTGGAATCCTAGCTGGCATCATCATGAGGCGGAAAGACAGTGAAAAACAGTAAGTGACACAAAGCTGCCCCTTGAAAATCTTAACTTTCTCTAGGGGTAAGTGGATGTTTCCTTTCAAGCTGTGTACCTTTAGTATATATTTTCATGGTTAGTGCTATCTTCCCATGTTGCTAATTTGCTTTTTGTTCTACACATTTTCTCCCTTCTGTCTCTTCAGCTCTTATAACATGAATTTACAAAAACACAAGGTGAAGGGAAAGGATGCACCGATGTGCCCGAAGAAGCAGCCCATGCCGTGGAATTCCTATTTTTGGTAGGTTTGCCTGTTCATCTGCCCAAAAGCTTGTGCCAGCCTTCTGCCTGTACCCATGGGTCTCACTGGTGACCTGTAAAAACATGTCCTCAGGAAGTTTTGGGCTCTCAAATGTCAGCACGCCGTTCGCTGAGAGGCACCAGCAGCTTCATGGGAGGGTCTTAAGCTGTGCCAAGGGAGGTTTAGGTTAGTCATTAGAAAGAATTTCTTTCTAGAGAGGGTAATCAGACATTGGAATGGGCTGCCCAGGGAAGTGGTGGATTCTCCATCCCTGGAGGTTTTTAAGAAGAGACTGGATGTGGCATCAGTGCCATGGGCTGGGAACCGTGGGGGTAGTGGATCAAGGGTTGGACCTGATGATCTCGGAGGTCCCTTCCAACCCAGCTGATGCTATGATTCTATGATTCTCCCAATCTCTCTCATCCACAGCCACACAACGAGTTGCCACGTGTGTCCCACCTGCAGGAAGCAGCTGCACGATGCCCTGGCCCCTCTCACGGTGCCCACGCGCCGCGGCTGTGCCGCCTGCGAGCACTGGCTGAGCACCAGCAAACCACGCACCTACTCGGTCCCCAGCATTGGTGACAGGGAGAGCCAAAGCCCAGCAGGCACCAGGTAACACCAGGCTCTTGGTCCTACTCTCCTTGCATGGGTCCACGGAGGGCAAAACTTTCCTCAAGAGGAAAAAGCATTTCTATGTGGATGGAGCAGGTTTTGTGGCTGGAATCCATTTGGTTCCTCTAAGTCCAGTTTCGGCAGGAGGAAGTATTTGATGTTTAGAAAAAGGTGGCTGTGTCAGGCAGCAGGTGTTCTGGGAAAGCCACACATTCAGGTGACTCAGGTTGTCTTCTCTCTCTTTGTCTGTGCTCAGCTCTCCTGCCGAAGCTGTGGATGTGCAGAGGGGTCGTGGTGCAGGAGAAGCTGGTCCAGAGTGGAGCGAGGCAGAGCAGCCCATGGACCACAAAAGGTCTGTCTTCTGCTTAGAAACACACAGATGTCATGGTGGGATTGGATAAAAATCACTTCAGAGTAGAGCAAATCTGTTTTTATCATGGAATCCCAGAATGGTTTGGGTTGGAAGGGACCCTGAAGATCATCCCGTTCCCATGGGCAGAGCACACCTCCTACTAGACCAGGTTGTTCCAAGCTGGCCTGGAATGCACATCTATGCAGTCAGTGCACAGCATTAATGGTGCTTCTCCACAGCAGCCACCACATCTGCCCCGTGTGTGAGAACTGGCTCCGTGCCCACGTTGGACAGTTGGACAGCAGTGCTGTGGCACCCAGGGAGTGGCAGGATGAGGGGTGAGTGTGGTGAGGCCGGTGCAGGCAGCTCCTCTGAGCAGTGGGCACCAGGGTGTGTGCCCAGTGTCCTCAAAATGAGAGTTCAACTCTTCAAATAAAACCACTCTGACAGTACATGAATGCTGGCTCCACTTGCCTCCAGCTCTGTGTCAGCACAGTGGTGTGGTGCCTGCTTGCAAGCAAAGGGATGTGAAACTGGGGTGGGGTTTATTCAGACAGTGCTTGAGTGGTTTCCTTGGGTGTCTCTGAATCAGCCTGTGCTCCTTGTGCTCACCTGGCTGGGCCTTGTGTTCTTTGGAGCTCTGGTTTTGGTTAGGCAGCAAAGAGCCTGAGTGCTGTGAGAGACCCTGCAGCTTCTGTTCTCCTGCTGCCCAGTGCTTTTCCCACCTCTAGGCATGGTTAGTTTGCTTGGGGCAAGATAAGGAGTTTGGGCAGAGCAGCAACCAGGTGAGCAAGATAATCCTGTTTGCTCTGTTCGCTTATCTTTTGACACTTGCCCATGAGAATCTGATGCTCTCTCAGGCTCCCAAAACTTCCTTAACAGAGTCATCACTGACAAATTCAAATAAATATTTGGTTAAATAAACATGGCCTGACGTGTGCATCTGCTTGCTTTATCTTCAGTAAGTGTGAACTTCTTTTTACTCCACTTGTTTTGGTTTTTTTTCCATTTATGTCCCACTGCTGTGTGAGTGCTTTTAGCCCTTAACACTGGAGGAGCCATTTCAGTTCTGCATTCATGAACCCCTGCTTATTTGAGTTTAAAAAGTTAATATCTTCGAAATTGTCAGGGAAACCAGCTCTTGTGAGTGCTGGAGGCTGTGCTTTAGTGGGGAGCAGTTTGTCACCACCCGGTTGGGACTCACCCACCCTTGTCTCTCTCCCCACAGCCCGCGGGGCCCTGTCTGCTCTCCCTGCACGGACCAGCTGCACCTCTCCCTTGTCCACAGCGACACGTGGAGCAGCCCCGTGGTGTGTCCCCTGGCTGCAGAGGGGATGCCAGCCCACCTCGTGCCTCAGCACACCCCCAGCTGCCACCTGTGCCCCGTCTGTGCGGTGCCAACCCACACACACTTGTGCCAGCCCCAGCACCAGGCACCCGACGGTAGGGACCCAAAACACCCCTCAGGTCACCGGGGTGGGGGCCACGGCACCACAAACATATCTTTCCTCCCAAAGCCCGAGGGCCTACCCTAATTAAGCTCCTTGTTTTCCTGTTGCAGGATAAATCCAGGAGGCTGCGGCATCCTCGAGGCACGAGGAGGGGAATTCTGACACTAATCCCTGACACTCTGTGGAGTAATAGATGAAGAGTCTGGAAATCAAAAGCCACCTGGCTCTGATGGGTGCTGATAAGGTCAGGATACACTGAGGATGTCCCCTGTGCATGGATAAACACATGGATACACCAAAGAATGGAGTGGTGTGGGGACACCACGGCCCCTCTTCCAGGCATCCTGCAAGAAGGGAACGTGGTAACCTTTTGACCTCTGTCATCCATCCATCAGAAAAGGAATAGATGCTAACTTATTCTAAACCTAACCCTTACGACCAAAGTCATGCAAACTCCAAGAAAAAAGGTATGAAAAGGAGGTTAAGATGGGGAAAAGATCCAAGGAAGATTTCCATTGAAACTGCTGGATCAGCCGTGGGGCTGAACCTGTCTTCCCATTCCCCTTTAAGGACGTTTATTGGGTGAAAAATTTAAAGTTCTGCGGGCTAATTACTTGCCTTTAAGGAACTAGAGTTTGCTTTCTCTTTGTAATGTGGTAGTAGGTTGCTTAAATCTCTATTTGTGCTTTTTTGTGGTATTATTACTTTGTTTCGAGCATGTTTTGTAGACAGACTCTATCACCGACAACTATAAACCTTTATTAGCTGGTCACAATTCATGTTAATAAACTGTGTTATTTTGTAACTGTTAGAGTAAGTCCTTTTAATAAGGTGCTAATAGTTCTTCTGGCAACAGAAAAAACACAGAGGAGTACTTGCTGAGAGGTCCCCATGCGGTTTTGGTCTCCCAGGGACACTAACAAGCAAATATTTTAAGAGTGGGGTAAATTTCCCCTTCCCCTCCCTTTCCCTGACCCATTGTCAGGGAAGAAATTCTTAGTGCAATAAGGCAACCTGAAGTCAAAGGTCTGACTTTACCACCAATGACTTCTGGGTAAAGGAGCAGAAAAATCAAACGTACTTCAAACCCAGCTCCATGTTGGTTTAATACCTACTTTGTTTGTTTTTGTATGAAAAAACTATTTTTGCAGCTCTTAAAGCAAGGCTTTAAAAATTCAGTGAATCTTTCACAATAGGCACCTTCTTTGCTCAATCTTACGAGATTTATTCGTATTTTTTAAACTTTTTTTTACTGAGGTTCCTTTCTTAGCGAGCAGGAGCAAGTGTAAAAATTAGAGTATTTATAGTAAAACTGTTTTGCAAATAAAAGGAATCTAAAATAAGGAATACTGGTATGCTGGCTTGGGGGTTTATTTCGTGTTTACTAATCCAGCCTTCTCCTAGAGTGCTGTAAGTGATTTTGCAGCCTCATTCTTTGCCGGATGTAATCGAGCTCACTAATTGCTTGTGTTCAGATAATCACTGTTGTTGCCCTGGCACCCACAGCAGTGCCCAGCCTTTCCTGGGAACTGTGATGACGGAGCTGAGGTGCCACTGCTGGCGTGGAGCCCGTGCCCACCCTGGGCAGTGCCAGGGAAGGTGTGTGCTCCTCCCCAGGTGGAACCTTCCCTCGGTCAACCCTCAGTGATCCTGCACTGGTTTTATATTCTCTACCCAAAAAACCAGGCTGCAGCTCCAGTGGGATGTTCCCATTATTCAGCTGAGTGCTCCATGCGCAGCTCATACTCGTTTTGGTTTGATACAGGGGACAAAATATTGATAAAGCAGAGGCTGTAACATTTGCCTTTCTGCTTTATCAGTGTTTGCCAAGAGATTGCATTGATGGGGGCTCTGGAAAACACCCAGATGGGGGTGGCAAATGGGCAGTGCCATGGGGAGGACAAAAGCACCACATGGTCCCCAGATCCTTCTGTTGTATCTCTTATCAAAGTGGGGCACAGCACATTTCCATGGGCTTGTGCTGGCAGGTGTAAATCTGCTTGGAGGAGAGGGAGAGGCAGTGAGCACCTGAGCTGTCCCACACCCTGCCTGCTGTCCCATGCCCTGCCTGCTGTCCCTCCCTGTCCCTGCTTGCTCATCCCTTGGAATGCAGGGCTGGAGGCAGCAGGGGCTGTTCAGGGGTGCCAGGTGGTCCCCCCAGCATGCCCTAAACCTCATCTGGCTGGCACAGAAGGTCAATCTCATCTCTTGATGAAGTGATGACACAGTGCTGGAAGCAGCAAACAGTGAAGAAAGTGCAAAATTCAATATGCAATGGTGCAAACATGGACACCTGATGGAGGTCTTGCAGTTTGTGTTGCCGTGGCATCGGGGAAGAACAATGGAATGAGGTGGAAGCTTCACAGTCATCTTCCACCTGATATTCAAAAACGTTTTGTACAAACCAAGTACACCTCCTACCAGGAAATATTCTTTACAACACAACCACAAAAAACAGAAGCTTTGACCACAACACTTTGCTCAGTAGGGGTTAATAAGGTATAAAATGTACCCTGTTTTTGTATCCAACTGGGGGAGAAGATTTTACACAAAATTGCAGGGACAGATCAACACCTTTTTCCTCCTCCCCTTCCCCAGAAGAGATGCCTCTTGGCAAGTCTTGTGCCCTCTGCTGTGCCAAGTGTTGACACGGGAAATTAGGCTTGGGATTGCAATGGTATTGTTAGTGCTCTCTGCAGCTATTCTGCACTTAATCCATTTACCACCAGCAATCCAAAAGAACTGCATATGTTGCATTCAATAAATCGTGCTGTTCATGACCCCGACTGGCTCTTTTGAATGCAACCAGCCCTACAGTTCATAGACTGGTCACACAACTTGTGTGACACTTTTGCAACACCTTGGAATGGTGCAACACTGTGTGGCAGGAGGACAAGTGCTCTGCAGAAAAAAACACATCTGCGGTGACCTCAGGCTGTCCTTGAGTTGGGGACCAAGTGTGTGGTGACCAGGAATAAGCAGCCTTCACAAGGCAGACACTCCACGTGTTTACAACTGTTTAGGGTAAGTCATGCATGCTACGTGTTGGGTTATGCATCCCGAAGGTAAACTCCTTCCCTGGAATCGGGTGGGGCAGGAGAGGCCGAGGGGAGGAGGAAGGAACCCTGGCTGTTCCTCGTTTGTTAAGCGGCATCATTTCCTACCCATTAAACTATAAAACGGCAGCGCCCTGGGAGCCGCCGGAACAGGTGAGGGAATTGCTTCGGGAATCGGCCGAGGAGCCGCTGCCCACAGCCCCGGGGGCACAGAGGAGCCGAGGCACTCGTTTCCCTCAGCAGCTCGAGGAAAAGAGTCCCTTCGTGCAACAGCGGCGACAGGGATCCGCGTCTGCCCCGGGGAGAGCCGCGCTCCGCATCCCTGCGCATCCCGCGGAGCCGGCACCGGGAGGGACCTGGCACCGGGAGCAGCTCCGGGAGCGGCCCCAGCTCCGGCCATGGCTCTGCGCTGGCTCTTGGCGCTGCTGCTGGCACTGCCCGGCGCTTGGGGTGAGCGGGGACCCGGCGGGACAGGGGCTGCCTGGGGCCGGGGTGGGAAATGGGAAATGGGGCTGGAGGGGGGGCTGCGCGGGGAAGGACTCGGACGAGCCCGGTCACCATCACCTTTCTGCCCATAGGGGACTGCCCGCAGGCGCCGACTTTCGTCTTTGCGGAGCTCACCACGACCTCCCAGGAATCCTACCCCGTGGGGACCGAGCTGAGGTACCGCTGCCGCCCGGGTTACGTGAGGAACGGGAACCGGGCCCCCGTGGTCACCTGCCTCCCCAACTCCACCTGGTCGGAGCAGCCCGACTTCTGCATCGGTGGGTTCCCCCGTGGCGGGACTGGGGGGCGGGCACAGCCCCTGCAGCACCACAAACCCCTTCACGGCTCAGCCCCGCTCAGAACGATGCTCCCCCATCCCTGTTTTAGGGCAGTTAAAACCCCTGAGTGCCTGCCTGGGGTGGCCCTTTTGCTTAGAAATGTTAATCTCTGGGAGATGATCTCTGCCATTCTGACTTTACCAACTGGTGGTGCAGCGTTAGTGCTGTGATACATTCACACAGAAACAAGAGATGGTGTGGAGGAGGCTGTGAGTGTCTGTTGTCCCCATGTGACATTCTGTCCCCATCCCCTTCATGCTATTTCCCTGTGGACCAAGACCTCTGGGGTTTTTATCAGCGTCCTTTCTCAGGACAAGCATATAAACCTTAGCTTTTCCTAACTTGTCCTCAGCCTTATCTGTTCTGTTACCTGTTTCTCATTTGAGTTTTAAGTTTCAGTTCCTTGGAAATTAATGTGGCTCTTGTATCTCTTCTGCAAATGCTAGTGTTCACTCTCAGGGCAGTCAGGTGCCTGATAAACGGTCAGTTAGTCAGTAATGACACTGAACAGCTACTGTCACCTGCATTTCACTCTCATCCTATAAAATAAAGGTAATACTGAGCACTTGCCCTTCCAGGGAAGTCGTGTGGGCAACCAGACATCCCGAATGGCAACTTTTACACCAGCACCAATCTGCTGGTTGGGGCGACCATAACCTTCACCTGTAACATTGGGTAAGTGTCAGCCCAAGCTCCTGGTGAGTCGAGGTGAGGTGACAGCACCCAGGGGACACTGGGAGGCTTCGAAAAGGTGGGGGCTGCTCCTTGGCAAGCACAGGCACGGTGGGAGGTGTTTGGAGCAGGGAGCCACAGGGGGTGGGCTGTCCCTCTGCTCTTGCTGTCAAAACATAATAATCCTCTGGGCCTGAGAGTGTGGACTTTGCAGATTGCTTTTTGGCTGCTTTGCAAAGAATTGGGTTCCTTTCCTGTTGCTGCTCGTCAGCAATTCAGCGTTTGTTGTTGCAAGCTGGGTCTGGCTGCCCGTGGCTGAGATGAGGAGGGCTCTGGTGTCCTGGAAAATGCTGGGAAAGGGAAGGAGGGTGGTTCAGGTATGTCAGTAACACCTGGCTCTGCTCAGAAAATAAGCTGCTGTTTGGATCTGCCACTGCACAGACGGGGCTGAATGGACACAGGGTGAGATTAAGTCTTGCTCATGGTCCTGTGAGCTTGTGCAAGAATTCAGTTTCCTCCAATTGCATCATGTATTGCATTCCTTTAGGTGTTGAGAAAATGGTATTTCATAGGAGGGCTAGCTGCTTGTACCCTAGGGTTCAGCTTCTCCAGAGAATAGTTTCTCTAGAAACTGTACAGCTTTCTCAATTTCTCAAAGTTTTTTGCTTTTTTCAAAGAGATTCAACCTTTCCTTTTCTCAGGTACCGACTAGTTGGGCCACCAACTGCACAGTGTGTATTTAAAAATGGTGAAGCTTACTGGGATAACATTCCAATCTGTGAGAGTAAGCAGATCTTAACTGGTTTATGCACATCTCTTCCTCAAAGCTATCGCAACATATCTGCTAGTTTGGGGACTGGCAGGTGGATTATCTCTTCTTGGCACCTAATGCAAATTCCTTTAGCCTTTAATGAGACTTACTCCTTACCCCTCCCCCAGAGGAGTACTCTGGAGCTGGGAATGAAAATATAAATAGCAAGGAGGGTCTGTGGATGTTGGCAGCAGCTCTGTAGTCAGATCCATGAGAAACTTCCTTGCTGAATTGCTTTGTCAGGAGCTGTGGTTGACTGGGACTGAGATGCCTTCAGATGTGGCTGCACATCCAAAATCTTTATTTTCAAAGGGGAAATAAGGACTAAAGAGTCTTGATGGTGCTATTTGGGCTTTTTTAGCACACTGTGGGATAGGCCTGACTGTCAGCTGCTGATGGTTTGGATGGTTTGCTGCTATAATGGGTGTTCTGGCTCATCCTTGTCAGCATAACAAAGGTAGGAAGTGCCATCATTGTAGGTGAGGGGGCCAAACTGCCTGGAGAGACCACATTCACTGCCCCCAAAAGGCCTCTTCTGTGGTGGCAGCTCTTGGACAACAGATGCCATTTTGCTGTTTTCCCCTTTATCCATTTTAGAAAAACAAACTCTGGAAAACATTCAGAGTGGAAGGGCACATTCCAGACTTTAGGATGAGGTGATGGCTTCTGGGGTGCTTCCCTGTCTCGTGTCTTTTTTGTTTGGGTTGTGGGTTTTTTGCTTTAGTAGCTACATCTATATTTCATATTTGATGGAAATATTCCTTCATTTCCTTACTGTTTCCTTCCCATGCAGTTATTCCCTGTCCACCACCTCCTGAAATCAAGAATGGGCAGCTCCTTGGTGGGGAAAGAGAATTCACCTTTGGCATGGCTGCAAGTTACAGCTGTAACAACGGTTTTTCTCTTATTGGAGATGTCACAATTTACTGTACAATAGGTCCTAACTACAAGGGAACCTGGAATGGTCCAGCCCCTGAATGCAAAAGTAAGTGCTTGCTTTCTCTCCTTATTCTTTTGACTTTGTTTCTCATCCCTCTCCCACTTTGTACTTTCCTGATGGGCTGCCAAACAGGAGAAGGTTGATTTGATCCTAAAAGGATTTCCAGGAAGCTTAATGCTGTGGGCTCCCAGGTCATGGCCAGAGGCAGGATTCTTCAACCTGCAGAAATCCTCCCTCTCCCTGCCCATGCCCAGAGCTTCCTGCAAATCAAAAATGAAGTGCTCATGTGCAGCTTCTCAATGATGTCTCTGTTCTGAGTAGTTGCACCTCACTGGGGACCTGCCAGTGAGAGGACAGCAGTTCTAATCTAGTAGGTGGCATCCCTGCCCATGGCAGGGACTTGGAACTAGAAGATCTTTAAGGTCCCTTCCAACCCAAATCATTCAATCATCCTATGATTCTCTTAGTGAGCTCAGTAAGCTTCTTGTGTCACTGCAGGGCTTTTTCTTCTAATAAATTTTCTCATTGTCCTATTTTCACTTTCAGTGGTCAGCTGTGAAAATCCAGACCTGAAAAATGGGAAAAGGTTGTCTGGCTTTGGCCTCGAGCACACATACAGAGATACAGTGAGCTTTGAGTGTAATCCTGGTTATAAAATGAACGGTAGTAGTGTAGTTACCTGTGAAGCAAACAGTTCCTGGACACCACCTCTGCCAACATGTGACCAAAGTGAGTAGAAACAAGTTTATTTCCTTGAGCAATTGTGGTGAAGTAGGTCTAAGAGCTGTAGAGCAGGTCCACTTCAAACCTCGTGCACTTGCAGAGGGCAAGACCCCCTCGGGTCCTCAGCGTGGCAGCCCAGGCCCGAAGCTGTTTATTTGGGAATAGCAAATGATTCAAAAGTTCACTGAAAGGAGAGACACTGTTGTCTTCCACACCTGCCAGGTTTGGTTCAGCAGCTTGCAGACCTGTTTGGGATGTTTTGGCTTCGAGCTCAGCTGAATGGGGGCCCTGCAGGTTGGGTTGGTGGGCAGGGAAGGAGCATCTCTGAGGCAGATTTCCCCAATCTGGTTAAGCAAACTGTGACATCCACTGCTCTTTGCTGAAAGGCTCGTTTACAAACTGTGCCCCAGACATTCAAACAGGTTAAAAACGTTGTGTGCTCCAAAGCATGCAGTTCACTGCTGTCATTGCAGACCCCTTGGGTGTGTTCTGTAACCAGCCTTGTGTTTGTCTCCCACCATTAGTCCACTGTGGTTCCCCTCCACGCTTCCCTTTTGCTGAACTACCAACACCCGTGGGTGACAGCTCTGTTTTTGGAACCAAGCTGGACTATCGGTGTAACCCAGGATATAAGGCAGCACCTGGAAAGTCCTCTACTGTCATTTGTCAGAGTAATGAAACCTGGTCTGCTGCAGACCCAGACTTCTGTGTCCGTGAGTGTCTCTGTTCCTCTCCTGCCTTGCCCGGCTGTGGGAGGGATCTGGACGTGCTTGGGATGTTACTCTGAAAACTGGGTCATGCCACGGGTTTGAAGTAATTCCTGTGCTGTTTTCTTTTCTTCTAGGACAGCAATGCTCTCCTCCTGAAGTAAAGAACGGGAATGTGGCTGGAAACGAAAAAACTTTCCCCTTTGAAACAGTTGTGAAGTTCACCTGCAATTCTGGGTGAGTGGGTCACTGCTTGGAAGGGACCATCCTGGGGGTCTGTGGACAGGGATCACAGGCAGCACCATCCCTCCCTTGGTTTCCCAGTGCAAGTCTCCAGTGCAAGTGTGTATTTTGGCTCCAGTGAGATCAGTGTGTGGTCAGACACCTGTGCTTGGTGATGCCGTGAACTGCTCTGATTCAGCTCTTATTGGTGTTTTTACTTTGATGTGGCCACATCCCATTTCAGAGCAGGATGGCTTCTGGTTAATCACTTGCCTGTGTGTGATGGTTGGGGAGTAGGGAAAAACCCTCCTGGAAAGGAGTAAACTTCTTCTCTTTCCTTAGGTATAAGGTAATAAACCCTTCTGCCAAATGTGTGGCATCAGGAAATGAAGTTCGCTGGGATCCAGCACCTCCCTACTGCTCAAGTAAGAGGGGAAAAACCCTGCCCAGAGCCATTAAGATAACAGCTGGAACTGCTCTGGTGTAGCTGCCTTGCTGGTGGGCTTGGGCTGCTCTTCCTTGTGCTTCTTAATCAATCAACTCTAAAAATCAGGATTTCAATACAACTCAAGCTGCGAGGCCTTTGCTGCAATATTCTTGTACAGTTCAGAAATTTATGCTGGCAAAGGGGAAGGAGCCTCTATTTCCCATTCTGTGTGTTGCTTGTTGTTTTCCATGCTCATTTGCTCCAGTTTGAGACACTGCATGTTGTGTAATTTATGAATAACTGTGCTGGATGGGTGCAGAGTTTCATGTTTTGTCTCCTTTCCTTTCCAGGAGCGAACATGATCGTTGTTGGTAAGTAATACAAATTCCTGAACCCCTGTACCCAGCTCCTGCCTGTCTTTGTTCTTGTCTCCTGTGTGTTCTGCTTGTAATGGGCTTAAAAGCCTTTTGTTACAGTCTCTGGTCATGTTGGTATCATTGGTGCTTTAGGATCATGAACTGAAAAGGGAGAGGGGAATATAAAAAGGAACAAGGAGGGAAAAGATATTTAACTGTGTGAAGTGAAGACTGAAGCTTCTTATGGTGCTTCAGGATCATGAACTGAAAAGGCAGAAGGGAATGTAAAGGGGAACAAGGAGGGAAAAGATATTTAACTATGTTTGAAGTGAAGACTGAAGCTTCTTATTTGTACCTTGTAGGAATCTTCCCCCTCCTCCTGGCAATGCTGATCATGAACATCTAAGTTTGGGAACAGGCACAGTGAGAAGGCACCTGTAGACGTGTTGGACTCCATCAGACTGATCCCAGTGCTCTGCTTTTCCCTCCTGTGAAACTGGCCCTGGAGCAGCAACCAACAGCCCTTGGTTGGCAAAGCCCAGATATTCCAGCTGCTGCCTGGGAAGAACTCACACTCCTGGCTGCAGCTGCAGCACGTTGTGTTGGACACAGCAGCTCGTGGGGCTGGAATGGAGTGGGAAGCTCTCTGCCACCTGGTTGGAATGCTGTCCAGAAATCAAGTGCAGTTATCCCTGTGTTAAGTCACAAAGATGCCAAAGACCTTCAGGCTGTAATAGAGGAAGCTCAAGAAAATCCTGAGCTTTTGGTACCTCTGCACGTTGGGTTCCTCAGCCCCTCTAAGGTCATGTTGTGCCTGGTCCTGATCAGGACTTATGGGTTTCTGAAGTGTCCTGAGGTGGAAAATGCTGCCCCTGCTGAGAGGGTTCAAGTGAATGTCTTCATGTGAGTGATCCCATTTGTTTCAAGCAACTTGTTTAAGAAGGTATGTATAAATTGAACAATATCTGCGAGAACTGACAGCACTGAAAATCACAGAATCATTAAGGTTGGAAAAGACCTCCAAGATCATCAAGTCCAACTTTTGACAAAACACCACCATATCAACTGAACTCAGCACTAATTGCCAAGTTGAGTCACTTCTTCAGGTATTCACATTCTTCTTCATATAAAGCACAGTTGCAGCTGTTACTTCAAGGTGAATATGAACTGTTGTGCAGCAGCAGGAATTTTACCTGAGAGAAAAGGTTTCAGTGCTTTTATAGCAAAGGACAGCTATTCTGATCCTTCCTGTAGGAACTAAAGTTAGTTTTAAGCTTCAGCTGAAGGTCTCTGCACTGGCACCCTCTTTGTATCATGTTGAGGCTTCTCCACAAGTACCTCATGGAAACAGCTCCTGTCCCTGAACTCACTGGAACTTCTGTGGAAGCGCTGAAGCTCTCAGTGGGCTGAAGGCCCCAGGAAGAAGTGGAGCTGCTCCAGGGTCTGGCCTGGATGCAGAACTTGAAGGTGCCACCAAACATCAGACTCTGCACATGAACCTTTTTGCTGTTCAAATGCCCTTTGCATGGGGTAACCGGTGTGAGGAATGTCTGAAATTGCATTTAAAAAGGATTTTTCAGGGGGTGCTGTACACCCTGACTATCCTGGCTCACACTGTGGGTCAGCTGGTGCCAGCTCAGCCTCTGGGTGTCTCAGGGATTCCATAGTGTTGGGGAGGAAAAGCAGATTTTTGGACTCTTGCTCCACTCGTAGCAGGGCTGAGGGGCTCCTGCACAGGGAGCCCCTCGCTGTGATGCTTCATCCAAGGTAGGTGCAGATGGACATCAAGCCAAAGCCTTCCTGTGCTCCTCCATGGGGAACAGGACACCAACCCCACACCTTTTGTGCACTTTTTCATCCTGTCTGACCTGACCTCGTTGTTGTTGTGCTTAGGATGGTGTGTGAGGACAGACAGAGGGGAGAGAGGGAGTGTGTGGGACCTCACTCTCCTTGTCTAAGCCAAAGGCACAGGCAAAAATGCCCTTGATTTGTTTGGCTGATAGAAGGGCCACGCTGGGGCCTTGCTGTCCTTTCCTGGTTTGAGCTCAGCCTGGCTAAAGGATCACTTGATAAGCTAAAGAGGTGTCCTCTCATAAAATAAATACTGGAAGGTTTCCTGTTTATAAGGGAAACAACACTGTGATGGAATTTAAACTTGTTAAGCCTTAGACATGCAGACTTTTAGCTGCTGTTAAAGCGAGATTTTGAGGTTTGGGGTTTTGTCTGCTGCTGAGGTAAGTCACCCATCTGTGAGCTTCTTGTGATGCACAATTGGGAGCAAAACCTGTCTACTACAGACTTTTTGTTTCTCCATTTTCACCACTGGTTTCCTGTTAACAGGAACACACATCTAATAAGAAGGAAAAACACAAATAGCCATTTCCATCAACATGTTAGTCTTGTTCCAAATAGACCCACAAAGTTCTCTGTTCCCAGCAGAGCACTGTCCTGTTCAGCTGTCACAGGGGCACTGTGAGATCCTGTTTTCAAGCACTTTCCTGTTGCTAGTTATTTTTATTTATCTCTTACCATAAGCCATATGAGTGACTGGATGGACAAAACACCTCCTGAAGCCTTGTATCTTTGGGTTGTGTTTGGTTTTGTTATTTTAATCCCAGTAAAATTGTTCCTACTCCATCATCCAGAGTGATTTTTCTGAATGATTTAACACTTGATTTGGGGATCAGCTTGGAATGATCTCCCCACAACCAAATGAAAGGAATTGTGAATGCTGTGATGTAACTTACAGGTGTGGTTGCCAAAATTTACCACTGAAGAGGGTTTATCTACTGTGTTTGTAATCAAGTTGTAGATGTTTTTACTTTCTAATCTGAGTGTAAATGACCAGGGGCAATTCTGAAGTGTGAATGTTGGACATGTAAATATTGGAAGCTCTCTGTCAATAAAAGGGATAAAAAGACTTGAGTAAGACATGCCTTGCTGCTTGTTTTAGGCTCAGGAAGTGTCACCTGCTATGTGAGGTGGGGAGTTGGAGGGTGCTGGGGCTGCTCCTTCCCCAAAAAGTCGTGTCTGGGGGGTTTTATTCTTCCAGCCAGCAGCAGGGGATGAGCCCTAGAGCAGCCAGGGTTGAGTTAGGAGGATTCAGGTCCACAACTGCTGCTGGTCCCATGTGTGTGGGAGGAGGGAATGTCCCTCTCTGCCCTTCCCATACCCAGGTGAGCTGTGCTGTGTCCCTTCAGGTGGAGACCTGAGGCCACTTCCCCAGTGGAGGATGCTCCACACCACGGCACAGCTTGGCTACAGCACCTCTGCCTGCACCCACACCCTCTCTTCCACAGGTGCCCGAGGGTCCTGGGCACCCATCCTCCCCTTCCAAACCAGCAGCAGCAGTGTGGGGCACCTGCAGCCTCCCCTGAGCTGGGGAGCCCACGGGTTCCTGTCCCGTGGCCCCGGGAAGTCCCGTGGCTGAGGCTCCTTCCACAGCCGGGGGTGCTGGGGGGAACTGGGGTGTCCATATCTTCCCACCGCCCCCCAGGAGCCACAGTCTGTGCCAGGGAGCAGAGGATGGTGCTCACCTTCACCCTCTGCCTCCTGGGCAGCTCTGCTTGGCTCCTGATCTCCACGGCTGAGGCTCGAGGTGAGTGAGACGGGCAGGTCTGGGACCTTCCTCCCACAGCCCTCCCCTTTCTCATGGCTGCTCCTCTCCTTGCTGATCCTTTTGCTCTTCCCTGCTGGTCCCAGGTGGACCTTGGCATGCCAGACCCTGAGCCTCTAAGCTCCTCTGCTAATAAAAAAGATCGTCTGGGACAGTGTTAGAGCCACGCTCCAGTGACTGGGGAATGGGGGGTTTAACCTTGTGATGGGAGCTGTGGAGGGTCTTTCACTACCTACACAGCTTCTCAGATTAAGGGGCTTGACCTACGTGTTTAAACTGATAAAGTAAAGCTGGTTATGGGTGCAGCATCTTCCAGCAGTGAGACAAGGAGCTTGTTCCAAGAATTCATTGGGTTTGACCCCTGAAAAAATTGGAATTGTGGCAAACAGAAATGCAGTGGGATGGGGCAGGAGGGTAAAACAGCCAACAGGACAGTGCTGGTCAGCATGTTTGGTCTGGGCAGGGAGCCCAGATGCCCTCTCATTTGGGATGGGACACATCAGCTCCATCACTGCAGGTGGGCTTTTTTTACCCCTTCTCATCTTGTTAGTGTAGGTGCTGTCACTTGGCTGCCCTGGTAAGGTTTGAACAGTGTTTTGGTGCTGGATGAAGCAGACTTCTGCCTGTATCCTCAATTGTGTAAATTAGTCATTGGCATCTTGAGAGACCAAGGCTGACCCTCCTGCCTTAGCTGGCTGGGGTGGCTCAGTGGCAGACAAGTGGCTGCAAAGGCTTGGGTTATATTTAGATTAAAAAAAAAAAAAAGGGGGGGTAAGGTGTATTTTTTCTGTGATACTTGGTTATCTCTGTGTTCAACTGATTTATGTGCATTTGGTTCTCCAGCCTTCTGGAAGTTCCTGTCACTGCTCCCATGTGCTCTGTGATTCTGGAGAGCTGTGGGTCTCCAGCAAAGCCAGCCTCAGAGCTGGTGAGGGGCACAGCAGAGGTGGGCTGCAGCCAAACAGCTCAGGGAAACCAGGTCTTTACTCACAAAGGATATTGCCAGAGAGAGGCATTTCTCTTAAATTCTTTCTGCATTCCTGTAGCTAGAGCAAATATTTGCTGAGTGAACAAAAAAACCTCTTCCTTGTGGTTTTGGCTCTGGATGTCTGCTTACCTGTCCACCTCTCCGCATGTCTGCCTCTCCCTCTCTCCAGGGGTTCAATGCAAACAGCCCCCAGGTACCCCTGGAGAGCAGCTTCTCGTGGGCAGGTCCCCTGTAAGGTGCAGCAGAGGTTTCCCCTTGCTGGCACAGGGGTGTCCCCATAGCATCGTGGTGGTGCCATGGACAGTGTGTCACAACCCCCCCAGCCCGTGCCATGTCCCCCCCACCCAGCTCTGGCACAGCCACGTGCTCCTGGTCACTCAGACCCCTGGACTGCAGTTAGATTGGCTGTGCCAACATCTCCCTGGGTTGGATCAGACCCAGAGGATGGGCTTCAGAGCCTGTGGGTCAGAAACCTGTAGAAAGGCCAGAAAGGCCCCTTGGCCTCATGAGGTGATTGATGTGAAAGCCTGGACACCCAGTTTTTGCCAGCTGAGGAAGCTGCAGGGTCCCCCAGATACACAGGGAGGGGTCCTGCAGCCCCAGGGGCACCCACCCCAGCTTCAGCCTCTGCCACAGCCCCACTGCTCAGGATAAAGGGGCTGCATGGACACCATCCCCACAACCACAGCAACACCTGGGAGCTCTGTAGGTAAACGTTTCATTTCTCTCCCTCTTCCAGTTCCCCTGTGCCCGCTCCCAAACATCCGGTATGGGACGAGAGTACCCCGTGCTCGCCTTTACTACAGGCCCGGGGACATCGTGAGCTTCACCTGCAACCGGGGCTACACCCTGCAGGGCTCCCGCATCAGCACCTGCGGGGCTGACTTCAGATGGAACCCACCTCTGCCAGTGTGCAAAAAGGGTGAGTGTCCCAGCGTGTGCGAGCAGTGACGGTCGCGGGGGAAAGCTCCCTCTTGTGTCCCCTCAAATTCAGTGGGAAAGCAAAGCCGGGGTGGGAGAAGTTAATCCTGGGGAGTTAACCCTGGGCTGGAACCTCCCGGCACGATCTTGAGCCGGCTGTGGGATGGCTGCCCCGGGGGGATTCCTGTTACCAGCTCCTGGTCAGATGTGGGGCATTTTCATCTTCCTCCTGGAACGGGAAGTTAATCACGGCTTCTCGCTGCTCTTGCTGCTTCCATGTCCGTGTGCATTTCTGCCAAATCCCATGACGTGCCTGTGAGTTCTCCTGGTGGGACTGTCCTCACTGCCAGCAATTTCTTCCAGATGAGGAGTGATTGTAATACCAGTGCAGCTGCACCTTTAGTTAACTAATGTTTTGGTCGAGCAAATGGAACAAAGGCAACAGAATTTAGGATATTACCATGATGCCACTTAAACAGTCCTAGTAACTCACAAACGGGCAAACACCTGACCCACAGGGTGATTTATTTCCCTCTGCAGAGGGGACGTGTCCTCGGCCACCAAACATTGCCAATGGGCTGCACACTGGACAGTCCCTGGACAAGGTTTCCCGGGGAGTGACCGTGCACTACAGCTGCAGGGATGGATACACTCTGGTTGGGAATGAGTCCATCACCTGCACGGAGGTTGGGGTGTGGAGCCGGCCCCTGCCCCGCTGTGAAGGTGGGTGGATGATTCTCTCCTGGGTGTGGGCTGGCAGGAAGGCTGTTGGATGTCCTGTAGCAACAGAACACACAGGCTTATGGTAATGATGAAAAGAGGGCTGTGTGTGCAGGATCTGGCCCATGCACTGAAGTTTAAAGGATGCTGTCCATGTTCCCACAGCAATTGGCTGTAAGGTACCCGAGGTGCAGAATGGGAAGGTCTACAATCTGCAGAGCACCTACAAAGCTGGGGAGACTCTTCACTTTGACTGTGACACGGGTTATGCTGCAGAGAACACCTATGAGACTCAGTGCCAGCCTGGGGGAACTTGGGATCCACCAGTGCTCATCTGCCAGAGGGGTGAGTGTGGGTGCCCACTGCTTCCCCAGGGCAGCCCTGCCTGGCAGGGGCTCCATCCAGGCAGGAACAGCCTGTGCAGGCAGAGCTGTTCCTGTGATGGGCTTTAACCCATCAATGCAGCATCACTCCAACTCCCCTGGCATCCTGTTCTCTCACTGAGTTATGACTTTCCATCTCCCTCTTACAGTCCGACCCTGCCCCATGCCTCCAGAGATCACCAATGGAAACCACAATGGCCAGGGCAAAGCAGAGTTTACCATGGGAATGTCTGTAAGATACACCTGCAATCCTGGCTATTACCTGGTTGGAAATGCTGATGTATTTTGCAGAGTCTCAGGGAGCTGGAGCCAGCCCGGCCCTCGCTGTGAAGGTGTGTCTGTGCTCTGTCCCCTCAGGGAACAAACTCATAGTGTGGCTCTTACCACTACCATTACCACTGAGACCTCCAGTGAGGGACTAAATTCCCCTTTAATGAAATATTTGGCTTTCTAATATGCAAAGGATAAGCTTAGATGCATGAATTTAGAGCCAGCACCCTCCTCCCTGTGCTCCAGTGGCAGCCTGGCTCCAACATGCCCATGGAGAGCCAGATGCTGATGGTGCTGGGGACCAGGCAAGGTCAGGGGGTGCAACACAGCTTTTTAGGGATGACCAGCTGGATTTCTATGAATCAATTCAATACTCTGTCCATAAAAGCCAGAGAAGAGACAGAGCATCCAAAGGCTGCTGTCAGGACAGAGCTGGCAGTACCCGAGGTTTGAGGCCTCTGCCCTCACCCTTCACCTTCCCCCATGTCTGACATGCAGGAGGTTGGAGCTGAGGTGTCTCTCAGGAATTGTCTCTCCCAGACACTCTCATGGGCTTTTCTCCTCCCTCTACAGAGGTGATGTGTCCTCGGCCACCAAACATTGCCAATGGGCTGCACACTGGACAGTCCCTGGACAAGGTTTCCCGGGGAGTGGCCGTGTACTACAGCTGCAGGGATGGATACACTCTGGTTGGGAATGAGTCCATCACCTGCACGGAGGTTGGGGTGTGGAGCCGGCCCCTGCCCCGCTGTGAAGGTGGGTGGATGATTCTCTCCTGGGTGTGGGCTGGCAGGAAGGGTGTTGGATGTCCTGTAGGATCACAGCAGGCAGGTTTATGGCAGTGACAAGAAGGGGGGAAGCTGTGTGTGCAGAATCTGGCCCATGCATTGAACTATTGAAGTTTAAAGGATGTTGTCCACATTCCCTGCAGCAATAGGCTGCGAGATACCCGAGGTGCAGAATGGGAAGGTCTACAATCTGCAGAGCACCTACAAAGCTGGGGAGACTCTTCACTTTGACTGTGACACGGGTTATGCTGCAGAGAACACCTACGAGGCTCGGTGCCAGCCTGGGGGAACTTGGGATCCACCAGTGCTCATCTGCCAGAGGGGTGAGTGTGGGTGCCCACTGCTTCCCCAGGGCAGCCCTGCCTGGCAGGGGCTCCATCCAGGCAGGAACAGCCTGTGCAGGCAGAGCTGTTCCTGTGATGGGCTTTAACCCATCAATGCAGCATCACTCCAACTGCCCTGGCATCCTGTTCTCTCACTGAGTTATGACTTTCCATCTCCCTCTTGCAGTCCGACCCTGCCCCATGCCTCCAGAGATCACCAATGGAAACCACAATGGCCAGGGCAAAGCATTTTTTACCGTGGGAATGTCTGTAAGATACACCTGTAATCCTGGCTATTACGTGGTTGGAAATACTGATGTATTTTGCAGAGTCTCAGGCAGCTGGAGCCAGCCCAGCCCTCTCTGTGAAGGTGTGTCTGTGCTCTGTCCCCTCAGGCAGGAGCTCAAAATGTGGCTCTGAGCACAGGGGGACCCTCACCATTGCCACTGAGACCTCCAGTGAGGGATTAAATTCCCCTTTAATGAAATACATGGCTTTCTAATATGTAAAGAATAAGCTTAGATGCATGAATTTAGAGCCAGCACCCTCCTCCCTGTGCTCCAGTGGCAGCAGATCTCTCATTGATTTTGTTGTTGCAATATTAACAGCCTGTGGTTCTTTGCTTTGTTTTGCTCCAACTCCTTTTGCACACCCTCATTTCCAGTGACTGTCTGCATAAACCCAACCACAGCCAACGGGAGAGAAGTTGATGTTCAAGGACTTATCTCTGCACCTGGGCAAACACTGACATTTCGGTGCCAGGATGGTTACAGCCTGCAAGGCAGTGCCAAGGTCTCCTGCCAGGAGGATGGAAGCTGGCAGCCTCCTATTCCTGTCTGTGAGAGATCATTCCTTCACCAGAACTCCTTAAACAGGCTCGAATCTTCAGGTAAATAATGACTTACCTGCCTTGGGGTACACTGCTGTCTTATGTCCCCTAACCCTGTTTGAAAAATGTGGTTAAACCCTGTGAGTGGAAGATTTAAGTATATCCCAAGAATAAGAACCTGTTTCTCTGCAATCCTTTGAGAAAATATGCTGTATTTGTTTAATAATGGCTATATTAATAAACAATTTTGCAAGGCAAACCAAACACCTTTCCTCTTGACAGTTTGCACCCGACAAACCTGCTCTGCCTGGCTCTCATGTCTGTTTTCTCTCTCAATAGGTGATTGTGGTCCTCCCACAAGGTTACACTTTGCTGAGCTCAATGAGGAGCATAGAAATACGATTGATTTTTCTGTTGGGAAGACTGTGCAATACACTTGCCGACCTGGATATGCTAAACACCCAGGAATGTCACCTACTATTACATGCCTTGAGAGCGGAGTGTGGTCAGAAGCACTAGAGTTCTGTAAAAGTGAATAGCTCCTTGATTTGGTGTCCGTTGATCAAGAAGGAATAGGTCCTAGGTTCTGTCCATGCTGCAAAAACCTTTCTGTTAATCTGGTCCTCAAATGATATGTGACTAGTGAAGCCATGTAACTCTTTGCTATTCGAAACCTTTTTTGGGGATAACTGGAAACGTGGGCAGATGACTGGAGTAAATACTTGCATCTGTTGTGTCACGGTATGGAGAGACAGAAGGCTAAAATGAGGGTATTTTCCTCCCCCAGGGAAGCAATGCAGTCACCCTGGTGAACCTGTGAATGGGAAAATTATTTCCCTAACAGATCTCCAGTTTGGGTCAACAGTGGTCTACAGCTGTGAGGAAGGGTAAGTCCTGGCTTTGGCTACTGCTTAGAGGTGTATTAGGTGAGTCTCTCTTTTTCTTCCTCCTATTCATTCAGTCCACATGGATTCTGTACAGAAGCCATGCAGGGTTCTCTACCTATATAGCTCTTGAGGTGCTCACTATCTTTTCTATACATATAAATACTTGAAATGGGTTTGGCAGAGCGAGGAAGGAACTCCTTCAGTGCCACAGCTTTGCTGATCCCACCATCCAGGGTGGTCAGGGGGAGGCAGCAATTCCAGCTGAACTGACGTGGGGTGAACATTCAATCCTTTCAACACCAGGCACAGGTTAATTGGACAATCCAGCAGAAGGTGTGAGATTTCTGGTGGACGTGTTGAATGGAGCGGCGACGTTCCCGTTTGCCAGCGTGAGTAGCTCGCAGCTCCAGGGGTTTGCATGGATCTGGGAAATATTTTCCAGCAGAGACTGCCACACCTTTCCAATCAAAGCTTTCACAGGCAATTCCTCTGCCCTGTGGGCATGAAAATTATCAGAGGGTTTTGAAGTTGCAAGAAAACATTCTGGGAAAGGTACAAGATCCCAAAGCTTAATGGGTTATAGAAAGCAGTGTCTCCACTGGAGCTTTCCCAGCAGTACTTGAGTGCCCTGCTGCTCACTGACATCAAGAGCCTGTTACAAGAGAGGAAGGGAAAATATGTTCAGCTTAGGGGCTGTTACTGTCAGACACAGAGAAACTGAGGGTCAGTCCTAGAGAGAGACAGAGTATTGTGCCAGCAGTGGAATCCCAAAATCCCAAACTGTGGGCTTGCTCCTACTCTCCAAGCACAGATAACTGGTTTGTACCCAAGAGCTGCACCTCAGCAGTTACACCTGGGTGTTTCTCTGATGGTTCAGTAGTGTTGCTGATTAGGTGACAGTTTCATATGATGACAAAAATATTTGCCTTGTTTTAAAACAGGGGTTTTAAAGCATTTCACATGTTCTCCAGGTACATATGAACCTAAGGTGATGTACAGGCTGTGCATGCAGAAAAGCAGCATTTTGCAAAAGTGGTGCAAAATAACTGTTTGCATTCTTATTTCTCAAACAGTAAAAAATACAAAGCATGTAGGTGTTTCCTCCACAGAGGTTTTACTGGTCTGCTTTCTATCCACCATAGAAATTGCTGGCCAGGGAGGTGGGATCCTGTTGCCAGCAAGGCCTCATCTGGGAAGTCACTTCACTGCAGTTACTCCACCTCTAGAATAAGTGTTTATGCCCCACAGACTGAGGGATTTCCAGGACTCAAAAGCCTTGTTCTGCACCTCTGCAGGTATCCCTTGCAAGCCACCTCCGGACATTCCCAACGGGGTGCACACGGGCAGGCTGCTGAATGAATTCCACTATGGCACAGCTGTAACCTACACCTGCAACCCCGGGTTCCCACTCCACGGAGAGCCCTCCATCCACTGCACCACCCAGGATGGGAAAAATGGCGTGTGGAGCGAGCCCATCCCGACGTGTGGAGGTAGGGCTGGGTGCAGATACTCCTGTGCCATCCTCACAGCACTACTGGGAAGTTTGGAAAGGCTAGGAAATTCCAGACAGCTGGACTTCTTGCCCCAGGGTTTTCAAGAGCTGATGTGCAGCTGGGGGCAGGAGGCTGGAGGGACACCCTGCTGCCTCCAGCATCCCCAGCTTCACCTTTCTGTTTGGGTCTCTCTGGTGCTGTTTGATATCCACAGGAAAATTATTTTCAGGCTTGTGTCTTAAAAGGGATTGCAATCCTGTGTGGCTTCTCAGCCACGCAGCTCTGCTGAAGTGCCTGCTTTGAGGACCTACACTTCCTTTTTCCAGAGGCAAACTGTCCTGTCCCACGGGTCCAGAACGGGAGGATCGTGTCTCCTAGATCTGCCTACTCACACCAGGACACCGTGACCTTTGAGTGTGAGCCAGGCTTTGTCCTGCGTGGCCACAGAGTGGTCCAGTGCCAACCCAACAACACCTGGGAGCCACCCGTGCCAGTCTGCACTCAGGGCAAGTGTTCAAACAGGGCTCTGAGCCTTAACCTTCCCCTGCTCTCCCAAATCTGCCTTTTCTTGGCTCTTTTAACAGCTGGGCTGGCTTCTCTCTCTTGGTAGCTGGCTGCAGTGCACCTGCCAGGCTGGAGTTTGCTGAGCTGAAGGAGCCCCACAACAACCAGACTGTCTTCCCTGTGGGGAGGACAGTGGAATACGTGTGCCGGCCAGGCTATTCCCAGCACCCAGGGATGCCACCATCCGTCACATGCCTCAGGAACCAGACGTGGTCTGCAGTGCTGGAGTTCTGTAAAAGTACGTCCTACAAGTGCTGAAGAACCCAAAGTGTCAGGCTTGGCTGGTTTTCCATGTTTTCCCAGCTTTATGGGTTTCTTTACCTGCTCTCTGTGCTGGCATCCCTGGCTGGGATGTGAGTAGGAGCTGGGGGTTAACAGAGGCTGGCATTCCCTTGCAGGGAAGCAGTGTCCTCACCCAGGGCACCCAGTGAAAGGCAGAGCTGTTGTCCTGACAGACCTCCTCTTCGGGTCCAAAATTAACTACACTTGTGATGAAGGGTGAGTCTTGCACAAGCTGAATTCAGCTGCCAGGTGAGAGCGAAAGTGGATTTTCAGCTTTACACAACTTAGTTCCCAAGTCAGAAGTCTCAGCTGCCACTTACAAAGGTTGCAAAGGAATCTCAAGTCTCTTACTGTTAAATTAATGAATCCTTCTGTGTGGCTCCAGGTACAAGTTGGTTGGAAGCTCTCAGAGAACATGCGAGGTCTCCGGTACACATGTCTCGTGGAGTGGAGATGCTCCTGTCTGCCAACGTAAGTAGGCCAGAAGAAAAGGTCCTTGGAGATGGTTTGCAAGATAAAGTGGAACATCTTTCAAGCCAAAGATTTTACTGCAAAAGACTCAAGTCCCTGGATGTGTAAAATTTTTCCCTTTAATTTTCATTGTTTGTTTTGATGCTTCTGAAAAATGTTTCCAAAGGTCTTTTATTTATCCTGTTCCAAACTGGGAAGAAACAGTAATATTTTAAAATCCCTGTAACAGGGTAAGTATTTCTCACTGGGCATGTGTAGGAATGGAGTGGCCAATCTGTCTCTGAGTGTGTCACCAACAGTTATGGAAAGGAAGGTAAGAATTGTCCCACCACCTCCAGATGGGCAGCAAGGAACTGGCTCATAGGAGGGTGCAGGTTTTTCTTCCCATAGGTGTTTTTTTTCCATACAAGGTTTGTTCCTGGATAATTTGGGACACTGAACGCTGAGATAGCTCCATCCCCATTGACTCCCTTCCTGGGTGTGTCCTGCAGTTCCTGGGTGCTGCTACAGTGCTCCAAGTCCCCTTCTGTCTGCCCGCAGGGATCGTGTGTGCTCCACCTCCGGCCATCCCCCACGGGACACACAGCGGGCGCTCGAGGGACACCTTCTCCTACGGGGACGTGGTCACCTACTCCTGTGACCCCGGGTACCCTCTGGCAGGAGATCCCTCCATCCTCTGCACCTCCTCAGACGGGGAGCACGGAGTGTGGAGCGGGCCAGCGCCGCGGTGCCAAGGTAGGGCTGGGAGGGCTCTGTGGTGTCCCCACCGGCGAGGTTTGGTTGTCACTGGCAGGTGGAAATCCCATAGCTCTGACAGATATTTATCCACAGGAGTCAGTGGAGTTAATTGCCTTCGTTAGTGGAGTTAATTGCCTTCCTCCTTTGCTTTTAGAAGGTTGTGTTTTTACTTTATTTTCTTTCTTGCCCTGTGCATATTCCTTACCTTCTCCTTGGCAGAGGTGAAGTGTCCTCCCCCTCCGAGCATTCCCAACGGGAATCACAGCGGCCAGCCCTCGGACAGGCACCTCCCGGGCTCGGCTGTGCAGTACAGCTGCTCGGAGGGCTACACCCTCATCGGGAACGCCTCCATCCACTGCACCGCCGCCGGAACGTGGAGCCGGCCCCGGCCCCGGTGTGAAGGTGTGTTCGTGTTGGCTCCTTTCATCCTCTCCGGGCCCCTTCTTCCTTCTTGGCTCTTGTTCTAAGCGCTGCAGACCAAACGTCCAGCGAGAGGGGGAGATCAAAGCTCCCACAGGCAGGAGGAGCCCCATCTGCCTCTGAGGGTTTCCCTTTCTGTTCCCGCTAAGTGCAAACTCTTAGAACAGCTGAATAATGATATTTGTGTAAGAACAAGAGCTGATAATGTTGACATGCCCACAACAGTGATGTACAGCAGCAGGTACTGCCTCTGCTCAGTGTCCCTCCACACCCAGGATGGGTTTTACATCCCCAGCAGTGCTTTGTGCTCTTTTCTTCCAGCAATTGGCTGCGACAGACCAGAGATCAAGAATGGAAGAACGACTGGGCTGGAGACCACGTACAGACTTGGGGATGTTGCTGTCTTTGAATGTGATTTTGGTTACGCCTTGAGGGGCTCTCAACAGTCTCGCTGCCAGTTTGGGGGCAAGTGGGACCCTCCTTTCCCCACCTGTGAGAAGAGTAAGTGCAAATGAGGTGGAGGGTGGTAGCTGATTTCTTCTGAACCACTGTGTGAGTGCAGCTGGCAGGGTGCAACACTGGAGGTAAAGGGGCTGCTCACAAGGACTGGAAGGGAAAATCAGATCTGTCTCCCATCTCCATAATCCCCATTCAAGCACTGGAACAGGGATTTCAAAGACATGCAGATGACATGGTTCAGTGGTGGGCTTGGCAGTGCTGGGTTATTGGTTGGACTTGATGAATTTAAATGATTCTATGATTTTCTAGTTCAGACCTTTGCAATGTAGGACTTTCACCTCTTTAAATGACTCCACAAAGGGACTGGGACCCAGACTGGTGTCTGATCTCATTCACAGCCACAGAAAGCCCAGAGCAAGCTGTCAGGGCCACAGATGGACACTAACCACTGTAGTTGCCTAAACAGTGAGAAACTATCATTCTTGGTTCAATAAGCTCAAAAAACATGAAGGCTGGAAGGTAAGGGAGGGTAGGATGGAAATATCATTCAGTGACATCCCTTAGTAGCTACTGGGCAAAAGTTGACGGGAAAGAAAGAAGTTAAAGGGCTGCCTCACCCTACAGTGGGGGTTTGTGGTACCAGCTCTTTATCAGTTAGGACTTTTTCCCTCCTTGTAGTGCTGCCATGTCCTTCCCCTCCAAATATCAAAAACGGCCGGCACGACAGCAAGGATGTGGATGTGTTTATCCCTGGAATGTCAGTGAAGTACTCCTGTGACCCAGGGTATGTCCTTACTGGGAAAACAACAGTTTCTTGTTTGACATCTGGATCCTGGAGCATCCCTTACCCCCGGTGTGAAGGTGAGCTGAAAATGCTGTTACCCACAGGAAAAAGGGAGAGCACGGTGGTCGCACGGCCTCCCCTGAATTTTGACCTCTTAAAAACAAACGGGGTGGGCTGTTTTTAACAACCTCTGGCAGCTGCTTCCCCAGCCCGTTGCTTTGACACTTTTCCCTTGCAGTGATCACCTGCACAAGCCCCAGCATCCGGGATGGAGAGGTGGCTGAAGGCCGGAGCGCTGTGTATCTTCCTGGGGCCAACGTCACCTTCCAGTGCCACCCAGGCTATGTCCTGCAGGGCACCCGTGCAGCCAAGTGCCAGCCTGATGGCCGCTGGGTGCCTGCTGTGCCCACCTGTGAGCGAGGTGAGCACGGACACGTGCGGGTTTAGAAGGAGGCCACCTGAAAAAAGGCATGGTCGGCAGGTAGAGGGGGGTGATTCTGCCTGTCTGCTCTGTCCTGGTGAGACCCCACCTGCCTCCAGCGCTGGGATCCCCAGCACAGGAAGGACATGGAGCTGTTGGAGCGAGTCCATAGTTGATAAGGGGGATGGAGCATCCCTGGTATTAGGAAAGGCTGAGGGATTTGGGATTGTTCAGCCCGGAAAAGAGAAGGGTTCAGGGTGACCTAATTGCAGCTTTCCAGTACCTGAAGGGAGCTGACAAGAAAGGTGGAGAGAGACTCTTTACAAGGGCCTGGAGTGACAGGGCAAGGGGGAATGGTTTCACACTGACAGAGAGTAGGTTTAGATTAGATGTTAGGAAGAAATTCCTTCCCTGTGATGGTGGTGAGGCACTGGTAGAAGTTGCCCAGAGAAGCTGTGGCTGCCCCATCCCTGGAAGTGTCCCAGGCCAGGTTGGACGGGGCTTGGAGCAACCTGACACAGTGGAAGGTGTCCCTATACTATATAATCTTTAAGGTCCCTTCCAACCCAAACCATTTAATGATTCTATGCTTGCTATGCTGGAGTGGCCCTGAGGTTGTGCTTTCTGCCTCACCTGTGCCACTTCAGGTGTGACAGTCCTTTGCTGCATTACATGTGCTCCTCTGCCGGGCAAAACCACTAAAACTCTGCTCTGTGCTGCTGCCCTGGCAGTGCTGCTGTGCCCTGAGCCTCCCGTCATCGCCCACGCCACGCACGGCGCGGAGCTTGGGGCCAACTTCACCAGCGGGATGTCGGTGAACTACAGCTGCCAGCCCGGCTTCTCCCTCCTCGGAGACCCCTCCATCTCGTGCACGGCCTCGGGGAGCTGGAGCCTTCCGTACCCACGCTGTGCAGGTGGGACCAGCTGCCCCCTCGTCCTCTCAGGGTTGGCTGAGCATCCGTGCTCGGCTCATCCTGGGTCAGCCAAACCTGCCAACACCCACAACTGGCACGAGTCCAGTGCCACCACATGTCCAGTGACACCCGTGGGTCTAAACGTGCTTCCAGCACGTGCAGGAGCCGTGTCCCCTTTGGTGGCACTGGGAATGAGCTGGTGGCATTGCTAAAGCCCGTGGTTTCCCAAAAGGAGGCAGGTTTGGGTGTTCTAAGTACTGGAATTGAAGATTCCTGCACTCTACAGCCCCAAGATGTGTGATGGCAGAGATGTGTAGGATGTGCAGAGCACCAAACTGGCTGAACTATTTTTGGGGGCATTGTATTTTTTGGGAGCATTATATTTTTTAAAACTATTTTTAGAGGCATTGTATTTTTTGGGAGCATTATATGTTTTAAAACTACTTTTGGGTGCATTATATTTTTTGGGAGCATTATATTTTTTAAACTATTTTTGGGTGCATGAAATTTTTGGGAGCACAAGATTTTTTTAAACTATTTTTGATGGCATTATATTTTTTGGGTGCATTATATTTTTTAACAACTATTTTTAGGTGCATTAAATTTTTTGGGAGCATAATATTTTTTAAAACTATTTTTTAGGGGCATTGTATTCTTGGGGAGCATAATATTTTTTTAACTATTTTTGGGTGCATTACATTTTTTGGGAGCATAATATTTTTTAAAACTATTTTTAAGGGCATTGTGGTTTTGGGGGGCTTTGTATTTTTCAGGGGCATTATTTTTTGAATATTTTTTTGAGCATTATATTTTTTTAAACTGCTTTTGGAGGCATTGTTTTAGTTTGGGGTTTTTTTAAGAGCATGTCTCCTTACATGCTGAATGTTAATTTATGTGTTCAAATGTATCAGAATACACAGAGGGTATATTGGTACCTTGGGGTTTAACAGTGCCTATAAATGCACTTATTTCTCTCTAACTGCATTTCACAACCAAGGATGTGTTTGTCACGTGCATTTTGTTTCTTGGCAGCCGGTTGTGGCACACCAACAAAGTTGTTGTTTGCTGAGCTGAACGAGGAGTATAAAAATCAGACTGAGTTTCCTGTTGGGAAGATTGTGGAATACACTTGTCAGGCTGGATACGTGAAAGAGCCACAAATACCACCAACTATTACATGTCTTGAAAATCAAACATGGTCTGAAGCCCAGGAGTTTTGTAAATGTATGTTTTGCAGATGCTTCTAGTTTTTTTAAAATACTGCGGGAGGAAGCCTTGTAATTTCTCCTTTTCTGGAGGATTTGGCTCTTAGAAATTGTCATCCATTTCCTGTGGCACTGAGTTAAAGAAGCTTAAAATCAGATTCTTGTTTCACCCCCTGGTATGGACGGGGACACCTTCCACTGTCCGAGGTTCCTCCAAGCCCTGTCCAACCTGGCCTTGGACACTGCCAGGGATGGGGCAGCCACAGCTTCTCTGGGCAACCTGTGCCAGGGCCTCCCCACCCTCACAGGGAAGGAATTTCTTCCTTACATCCCATCTAGCCCTGTCCTCTTCCAGTTTGAAGCTATTCCCCCAGGCCCTTGTCCAAAGTCTCTCTCCATCTCTCAAAGTAGCTCCTTTAGACATTGGAAGGGGCTCCAAGGTCTCCCCAAAGCCTTCTCTTCTCCAGGCTGACCAACCCCAATGTTCTCAGCCTGTCTTCACAGAAGAATCACTCTGGCCCTCTAAGCATCACGTCCTTGCCCTTTCCTCAGTTTTGTCTTGTCCTCTCTCTTTAGTGCTGCAATGTCCTTCACCTCCAGCTATTGACAACGGAAATCACAACAGCCAGGACTTGGAAGTTTTCCCCACTGGGATGGTTGTAAACTACAGCTGTGACCCCGGGTACAGCCTCCTGGGAGAGGCATCCCTCTACTGCACCGACTCTGGCAACTGGAGCCTCCCTCTCCCTCGGTGTGCAGGTACACTGTGGTTCCAAGCTGGGAGTTATGGATAGTCTGGGAGTTTGTAGGATTTGTCCTTTCCCATGCCAAAATTTGGAATCCTTCAGCCCTCCCCCTTTGTTTTCCGTTCGTCTTGCAAACTCACCCGTGCGTGCTCAACATACATTTTAAAACCACTTTGTGTGGTTGACACCCCTATTCCTCCCTCTGTTTTCTTTCCTGGTAGGTGGCTGTGGTGCACCTCCAAACTTCACCTTTGCTCAGCTGACTAAGGAACACAGAAATCAGATGGAATTTGCTGCCGGGGACACCGTGCGCTACAGCTGCCAGCCAGGATACATGAGACGCCCCGGAGTGCCCCCAACTCTGACTTGCCTCAAAAACCACACGTGGTCTGAAGCGCTAGAGTTTTGTAAAAGTGAATAGCTCCATCAGTTTGGTGTTGTTGGAAATTGTCTGATTTGTGGGTTTCTTATAAAGAAAAAAAAAAAAAAGGTTCATACATGGCTTCACTAGTCACAGAGTTTGGGCCATTATTGGCCAGATAGAAATCAAAATTATTGGTGTCAGAATGTGGACAGAGCCTTAAGATACCTTCTCATAGTGTGTTACACAACTGCAAGAGAGGAGTTTAAACTCAGCCTTGTTCTTTCCCAGGGAAGCAATGTATATATCCAGAAACACCCAGGAATGGCAGAGTTGTTGTTCTGACAGATCTCTTTTTGGGGTCCACCGTGAGCCACACGTGTGAGGAAGGGTAAGTCCCACGCTGCCTTTGCTGACTCTGTGTCTGAGCTTGGTGTTGGGCAACTTGTGGTAAAGCATCAGAGCCCAGTTCTCTGAGCAGCTGTTCTCCCACAGCAAGCCAGAATGTGGATTTTTGGTTCCAGCTTAGGAAAGGGAGAAGTGTCTCATTTTTCCCTTCCTGTGCTCAGTAGATTAATTTGCACACTTCAGTCTCAGTTTTCCATCCTCAGATGGCCACCAAGCAGGAGCTGAGAGTGCCAGCAAGGAGGCTCCAGCCCTCTGGAAATCAGCTGGGTCCAAGTCCTGATTTAGCACCTGACCAACCTGACCCGGAGTCATTTGGGATCAGTGTTGTTCCCCCTGGAAGAAGGAACTTGGTGTCCTTCACTCCCATGCGTCAAAGCAGCAGAAACACCTTGGTGATCAGCCAGAATCAGGAGGCTGCAGAGGGAAACCTCTGGGGGTAGTGTCAGAGTGGGGGTGCAAAATCCAAGCTGAATGACCTGAAATCAGCTGATATTTGTGTCTCTGTAACTCCAGGCACCAGCTGGTTGGACAGTCTCACAGGAGATGTGTGATTTCTGGACGAGATGTCACATGGACTGGTCTTCCTCCCCTTTGTCAGAGTAAGTAGGTCACCACTAGATCGAGCCCAGAACTGGCAAATTAAGTCCTTAAAATCAAAAAGTGGCATTTCTTTTAAATAAATAGAATTAGAGGAATATGCCTTTTAAAGCATAATATTCCCCTAGGATAGGGGGGTTTTTTTGGTGCTTGCATGTTTGCTTTCTTCTAAAAATCTTCCAGATGCAAGCTTTGGATCTGCCACAGAAATGTAGACTGAAGAGCTGTGAGATGCCTGCAGGGATTTGTCCCCTTTTGTTTCACAAATATAAATAATAAATTAAGGAAGGAATGTGTTTTGCAGTAGAAGAGTGGGACATCGAGTAAAACCGAACTGAAATCTTCCAAATCCTGTACTGTTATTTGCAGGGCTTGATCGTTGCAGTTAGTTTTTCTTTCAGATGGAATTGCTTTGGAAGGTGAGTTTGGGATAGCAAAGCAGTCATGAGAATGACTAACAGTGCTTACAGATTTCTACCCCACTTAATACATTTATTGGAATGCATTTGCACTATTCTGTTCATAGCCACAAACTATGTTCAGATATACAATATAACCTTAGGGTACTTAAATGAACTAAAAAGCTTGAAATTATTCTTCTCTGAATCTCCAAGCACTACCTGTGAAAATCCTCTGAGCACACTGAGGATGGACTTTATACATGCACCAATTAAAGCATAAATATGGCTTCACATTCACAAATACGAATTTATTTTTCAGAGGTGGTGTGTCCACCCCCACAGATCCGGAATGGGAGGGTAACCCTTCTTAAATATCGCTACACATACAAAGACACTGTTACTTTTAAGTGCCGTAAAGGTTTCACCTTGCGGGGCCATCCCACATCCCGGTGCCGAGCTGATAAATCCTGGGATCCGCCTCTCCCAGCCTGTGAGCAGGGTAAGTCTCAGCACTTGGACTCGTCAGCACTGCAGATTCCTCCCTGATTTCTACCCACTCAACAAAGCTGAAGTTGCCTTTATTTTTCCTGCTCGCTCCGACTACTTGAAGGAGAACCCAGAAGTTGTTCCTTTTATTTATGCCTCTCTTTTCGGGTAGGAGGTGAGCCAGGGGTTGGGCAATGCAGTAAGTATCAGCATGATTTGCACTTTCTGACACTGCTCGTTGCAATCCAGAACCCACATTCCCTTAATTTCCTGAATGTGAGAAATTTGGCAGCTTCAAGGCAGGACATTGACTATCAGAGAGGAGTGAAGTGCTGGAAATGTAAATGCAGGATGATGGGAAATGAAGGTAAATTTGTGCATTGTGTTTGCTCACCCACATTTTTAAACTCTCAGTGTTGCATCCAGATGGAGTGGCAGAACATTATCATCATGCCAACACCACAACAAAGCCAGGTAGGTCTCTCCTAAGAAGAGGAAACTTAACACTAAACACTAAAATTAGTGTTACTAAACACTAATTCCTCCTTCCAACCTGTCCTGCTTTTTTTGAGGGGAGAGGGATAATTGATCTTCTTGAAGAGGGTTGGCTCTTTGTGTTGGAGGCAGTGCTGTGGGAGTGAGTGTTCAGCTGCTCTGAAGTTTTCTCTCTTGCCTCTGTGAGCCCTGTTTTGATCTGCACACCTCTGATTTTAGTGCTGCACTGCTCCAAGCCTGCAGATATCACTCATGGGTCTCTCAGCAGCCCAGCAGAAGTATTTTTTACTCCTGGAACATCTGTGAGCTACATCTGTGATCCTGGCTTCTCTCTCCTTGGGACAGCATCCATTTATTGCACACCATCTGGAGCCTGGAGCCATCCTCCTCCCGTCTGTCAAGGTGTGTTTTTGTAGCAGAGAGCTAAGAACAAAGGACATTTAACAAGTCCTGCCTTAGGGAAAGGTTTGTAGGACTACATCTGAGTCCTTCACTACACAATGTGTGATAAGAACAAGATCAGGTTTATAGCCATTTCCAAAGCCTGATGGAGTTACAGGGGTACAGGTTATTGAGCCAAGGTGAAGTAATTCAGAGGGAACAATGAAGTCTGCAAAGGTACAGTGCCTTGGCCACTCTCTGCAGTCCTTCAGGATCCTTTTGTTTGTCTCTCCCCTCCCCAACTTTCCAGCTGTGAAGTGCCTCCATCCTCCAAACATCACCAATGGGAAGCTCAAAGGCAACGTCTCTCACACTTTTCCCTATGGAGCATCTGTATCCTACAGCTGCAATCGTGGTTATTCACTTGTTGGGAATGCTTTTATCAACTGCACGGTGTCAGGAACCTGGAGCCAGCCTCTTCCTCAGTGCAAAGGTGGGTTTTGTGCTTCCTTTGCTCCTGTTGTTTGGAATTTGTGGTGGCAGAACCAGACTGGGCTGAGGGACGTGCAGCCACACTGACATACACGTCTTACTTTGGGGAGAAAATTAAATCTTCAGAGATTCAAGGGCCAAAATCGAAGCAGTAAGATCTCCTGCAGCTAACGCTGAATTCCATCCCCTTATTTGGCCTGGGAACTGCTTTTATGTCCCAGCTAGGAAGTGTTGATCTGTTAACTAGGAATTTATCTACTCTTTGTTACCCCTGGGAAGGGTATTGTTGTAAAGAAGCAGGATGGGAACCTCGAGCAAACCGTCAGAAGGATGTGAGTCCAACAGAGGCACTTCCGAAAGGCAGTTTTAACTCTTGCATGTTTTCCATCTCTGCCCCTGTTGCCCCAAAGAGGTGTACACCAAATTCCCTCCACTGACAGCTTTTTACTTTTAGTAGAAGAGTAGAAACATTTTTGTGTCCCTTGCCTTTTGTGTCTCACTCTCCAGTTATCAATATCAGGAAACAAAGAAAGTGATTATATGAGAGAAAGTGTCTCTGATGGATGGTTTGTGTATGACAACTATTCCCTTCTCTGTGTCTCTGAATTGGCACTGCCAAGGTCAGTCACCAGGCAAACTTGACTAAAGCCAATTGCACGAACGTCACAGGATTCCTAGTGTGGGTGTTCCTGCATGAAAAACTGGACAATCATCATCATTACCCCCACGAGGAGCTGCACCCGCCTCGGTGACTCAAGAATTGAAAATCTCAGATAACAACGGGAGGAAATAACCTACTAAACACTTATGTAAATAAATCAGAGGCTCCTTAAAGGAAGCAGTCTCAGAAAAGTTCTGCCAGCCATTCCATATTTTTGTGGCTTTGAAGCATCTTTATTAGTAGTACAAGTGATAGTAAATATATATATATATGACATAAAAGAAAGGGTAAATATTACATGCTGATGTTATCCCTTTGCTCACTGAGAACCTTGTCCAACAGAATCCTTGGGTTTGGACTGTTAAAGATGATGAGATGCTTGAATTGAAGCAAATGACTCACTTCAGTTTTATAAATAGCTTAGATGGGTGGACTAATTAATGAATTAATTATTGATGATGACATCTTTGGAGGGCAAGAGACTTTTACAGGCTAGAACTGGTTTATATGCAGCTGGTTCTAAAACTGCCACAGAATTCTTCCCTGCTACACCTTTCCTCTCCAAATGTTTTGGTAGCCCAGTATCAGAAATATCTCCTTCTCTGTCAAATTTCTCCCAAGGTACCCCTTCTACACATGATTTTCCATCTGCCATATCAGTGTGGAATAGCTGATCTGTACAAATATTCATTTGTGGCAGTGAGACCCTTACCCACCTCTGTAGCCACAAGGAAAGGAACTATCCTGTGGAATAAGAATTAATTCCTAGCTCCATTCAGAAGAAATTCAAGAACTGTGTTCTAAATAACCCACAGTTGTATTTGTCATGTTTTATGTTTCCTCTCATTAAATGCCCTTTTTTGATTACTTCCAATTCCAGAGATCAGATGTGAATTCCCGGATGTTCAAGGTGTTAAGAAAGCCATTAAAGGAAACACTTATCGTTCTGGGACCAACCTCACTCTTGAATGTGATGATGGTTACACGTTGCAAGGCATCAGTCAGACTCAGTGCCAAGAGGATTTCAGCTGGGACCCTCCTGTGCCAGCCTGTAAACTGAGTGAGTGAAATGGGAATGAAGCAAAGATCAGACAGAAACACGTAAATGCATTTTAAACATGCAAAATAACTTCTTGTATTTAAGAAAAGAGTATATAATGGTGGGTTTAAGAAATCAGTTTTACCAGTGAGACGCTGGCCCAGAGAAGCTGTGGCTGCCCCATCCCTGGAAGTGTCCAAGGCCAGGCTGGATGGGGTTTGGAGCAACCTGGGCTAGTGGAAGGTGTCCCTGCCCATGGCAGAGGGTGGAACAGGACGATCTTTAAGATCCCTTCCAACCCAAACCATTCTATGATTCTAAAAGGTTGATTGGTAAAGTGATTAAGGACAGCAGACAAACACTGGATTTTGTTAGAAGAGTTTGCTGATTTCTCTTTTTTTCTCTCCCCTCCAGCATCACACAAGTCTGGGTCACTAGGCCTCGGTAAGCAGCTTGCAAACATTCTTGCAGCCAGGTCTTTAGCTCAGTGGCACTGTTTCCTTCTGCTTACTTGGCAGATACACCTTGTCACGTCTTTTGTGTGCTTCCAAACACTCAGTGAGAATAATACGGGCTCTTCTCTCTCAGGAGTCGCAGCTGCGGGAGTTCTGCTGCTCCTGGGGGCAGGCATTGTCTGGAAAATAGTTTCCAAGCAGAAGGAAGGGTAAGGCAGTCCTCTGGATGTTTGTTCATGTCCTTTGTTGCCAAGTGCCAAGCTTTATACACTTTATACACTTAAAAAAATATTTGCCTGAATGTGCCTGGGTCTTGTGATCCTGTACCTTCAGCTCACACTTGCAAACTGAACAACCTGGAATAGATGGTGTGATTATGTCATTTTATCTCTTCCTGAAAGGAGACCAACCTGAGTGTTCTCTTACAAAGCAACACAGTTCATTGTTTTCTTCTTTTTCACTTAGCTATTATCGTACATATGAAAATTACAATTACCAAACCCCTCTGAATCCGGTAACTCAACAGAAAAGCTCATGTCTGCCATAAAAGGTATGGATTTATATTCCTCAACATCAAATATCAGTTATAGCTGCAATAATTATATGGCTATTTGTTTATATTGTTGACTACATTGTCTACTTGAATGACTATTTTTCTAATGTAATCATTCAAGCAGAAACCTCTTTCCCCTTAATCTTCTGGTAGGACGTTTTCTTTGGCAGAATAAAAGAGCCTGTTTTAAACATACTGGTTTTTTTGTTTAAACATCCTATTTTTCTTTCTGACACCAACCTCAATGTGTCTTTCCTTTTTTATAATCTGAATGGATAGTGCTCACAGGTCAGACTTCCAGACTAGTCCTTGCTTCTGACATAAAGCTACTTTCGATTTTTTTATGGTTTATGGGAGAGCTTGCTCTCTAAAAGACTACTTTAACAGCAGTAGTGTCAGAAAAAGACACTGAACTGGGCTTTTGGGTTTTTTTTTCTTGCTTTCACACTTACTACGATGATATTTTTACTGACAGGTGAATCTACTTTGTATGGTGAATCTGTTGGAGCCAAGAGTGAATTTTCAGTGTTAGCAGCACTCTGAGCATAATCAGCTTTGACTATAAAGAGGCTTGGTTTTGGGTCACTTCTTTGAAACAAAGCACTTCCCAGAAATTCTCTCCTCCCTCCCTGAGTGACAATGTAATCCCTAGACATCAGTATGGAAACAGGAAAAGTCTAATTATAACACGAGTATGTCATCTTTTTCCTAGGCTGGGCACCCATGTGGCCGCTAACCAGGGACTTGGCTCGTTCTCCACAGCAAGGGCTGCATGGAAGTGCTGCTCGAGACTGAAATTCTGTGGCAAAAATAAGACACTTTACTGTAAATCTTTAATGCTCATTCTGCTCCCATTAATCACTGGAAGGATCTAATGAGGCTCAGACTGCACGCGGTGCGGATGCTGCCCCGGAGGGAATTCCGTGTGCTGCTTCTGATCAAGAATACTTCATCTGCAAAGGCAAAAAATCTGGATAAGCAAGTCCCATTAAAGCGTTCCTGTGCGGGGGTGGGAGTCACAGCATGTTAATTAATGTCTTAATAACAGCTGCATTCACATCTCTGTATTTCCTTTCAGTAACGCTTGCTTATGCGCAGCGTTCCTCTAGAAATGCTTAACATAATAAAAGCTGAGCCCTGGACAAGAATTCTGTGTCTTTTTTTAGGTCTATCTAGAATTTTAAGGGGGCTCTGGTTTGTGGTTTTGTGTGTATGTGGTTTGGGTTTTTTTTATTTTATTATTATTTTAATGCTGCTCTGCAACACGTAACGTGCTGAGGGTGTTGCAGAATTTGGAGCATGTCAAGATTATCTTAAGTCGGGATGTTCTTTGATGTAAGATCTTCGTATACTTTCAAGCCCCATCAGCAGGAAAGGAGAACTAATAAGTGGAACAGGCAGAAGCTGCATCCCTTAGTCAAGGACATCCTGGAACTAACAAGCTTTAAGGATGTAGTAAATCGAGATGTTGATGTGTGCTATGTAAACATGGCAAAACACTCGAGGTCCATGAATATAGGTCCATAATTCCAAGGAACTACGTTTTATACTAAAACCCACGCCTTTTAATACTAAAAATCAGGCCACAGGTCAAACAGACCCTTCACCTGAGCATGCGGAGAGGCCGGACGGCATTACGTAATTTGTGTGGAAATTACTAAGTAATCACAACGGCGGGGCTGCGCTTGGGAAGCGACTCTGAATTTCCGCGTACAAATAACGGCACCGGACTCGCCGAACACCGCCCATCAGCGGGGCTGGGGCGAAATAAATCAGCAGCGAGCGGCTCCCGCTGCGCCGCACGGCGGGGGACGGGCCCTCCTCTGAGGGCGATAATGGCGGGCGCGGCCATGGCGCCGAGGGCGGGGTGACCCCGCGCATGCGCCTCAGCCCCGCGCTGCGTCTCGGCCGCTGTGAGGGAGCGGAGCGGGCGCTGCCGCGGCCCCGGCGCCGTCATGGGGCCGCCGCCGCTCTTGCTGCCGGTTCTGCTGCCGGTTCTGGTGCTGTGGGGGCTCAGCGGAGCGCGGGCTGAGGGTGAGGAGCGGGTTGTCTCTGCCCCCGTGCTCGGGGGGTGCTGCGGGGAAGGGGCGCGCTGAGGGGCTGGTGCGGCGCGGAGCCCCCGCCCCGGGGAGGGAGGGAAGGAGGGAGAGGGGTCGCGGTGTCCTCCCCGCTCCGGTCCCGGCGGTGCTGCGGGGTGAGGGAGCCCCAGAGGCTTTCTCGGGGAGGGAGGAGGAAATGGCTTGTGGTGGTGGTGGAACCACGAGGTTTTGGGCGGTGGTGTGTGTGTGTGTGTGTGTGGGGTGTTGAATCGTCGAACGGTTTGCGTGGGAAGGGACCTTATAAAGATCATCCCGTTCAGCCTCTGCCATGGGCAGGGACACCTTCCACCAGCCCAGGTGGCTCCAAGCCCCGTCCAACTTGGCCTTGGACACTTGCAGGGATGGGGCAGCCACAGCTTCTCTGGGCAACCTGTGCCAGGGCCTCCCCACCCTCACAGGGAAGGATTTGTCCCTAATATCCAATCTAAACCTGCTCTCTGTCTGTTTGAGGCCATTCCTTCTCGTCCTGTCACTCCATGCCACTGTAAACAGTCCCTCTCCAGCTCTCTTGGAGCCCCTTTCAGGTACTGAAAAGGTGAGGGGGAAGGTGGTGCTGCAGAAACGTTTGGTGCTAATGGGGCGCTGAGCTTGAGGTTTGGTAAATCTCTTTTCTGGTTTGGCCAGTTTCTAAACAATAATAGAAATAGATCGGGAAAGATTGATAGATGTCAGAGAGGTGCTGGCCTCTGTATTTAAGTCTTGCAGGTTTGTGTAGTCCGGTGATTCATATAGAGAGTCTTGAATGCGTTTCTTTGAGTCCTTTTGTGTGGAGGAGTTTAATTTCTTCAGCTTTAGGAGTTGGACTTCAATGATCCTCATGGATCCCTTCCGACCGAGGATATTTTGTGATTCTCACCAACCCCAGAATGTCCCTGGGTCTGTAGGTCTCTGTTGGATTGTGCAGCTGATTTTTAAACTCTGCTTTATGCTCCTTAAGCTTGCTCTCCTTTTTGCTGTGAAAACTACATGACATATTTTCATAACATATTTTCACTATCAGCTGTTTGAGTGGGGCTGGCTGGTTTGTTTTTCCTGCAGCAAGCTAAATAAGCATTTCACTGCCGATGGGTTTACAGTGAGTTAAGTTGTGTATTTAACTTAAAAGAAAAAAAAGGCAGACAAAAAGTAAGATCTGGAAGGAAATGCGTTGTCTGGGTAGAACGCTGAAGGACTTGGGAAAACAATAAGTACTAGTACAGAGTTGAATATTTGGATGCAACTAAAATCTAAATTAAAATTTGGAAACTAGCTAAATGTAAAAATATCTCTGGCTCTTAAGAATGTCACCTCTTGGATTAACCAGTAAATCCTTAAAACCCCTGGAATTCCCCTGGCTTCTGTGCTGTTACACTTCGGTGTGTTTCTCTTGTTGCTAAGGTTGTGTATTCCCTTTTCCTTCCTCTCCCAGACGCGTGTGGGATTCCACCCAGGCTGATATATGCAGAGCTGGAGGAGAAGTTCATCGGAACAGAGAGTTTTCCTGTTGGAAGTCAAGTCTCCTTCGTCTGCCGGCCGGGATATATGAGAAGCCCTGGAAAATCCTTAACTCTCACGTGTGGTCCTGACTTACAGTGGTCACCCAAAGAGCAGTTCTGCATAGGTAATTGTGTGCTTTTTTTTGTACCGTTTTGCTTTTTCCCTTTGATATTTAACACCTTTACTTGTTTTGTAAGTTAGAATTAGTATTTTGCAATGTTTTAAACAACCCTTGGAAAACGCTGATGTTGGTAAGGGCAATATATGCCAAAGACTTTGTATATATAATTAGAGGTATACATTTTTCCTTTCTTTTTTCCCCCACTCTCCCAGAGAGAAGATGTAAGCACCCAGGAGAATTAGCACATGGTGTTGTTGATGTGACAGATCTTACATTTGGTTCAACTGCTACTTTTTCTTGTCGAGAAGGGTAAGTATTTCAGTGAAGTTAATGAGTCCTTTTTTTTTTTTTTTGGTGTGTTTGCACCAGATCTGAACCAAACCCAAATTTGCTGTGCAGGTTCCATTCCAGTTCTGATTTGAAATCTGAATTCTACCTGGAGCAAATGAACTTAGAGCTAAATTTAGCTTGATTCTGTGGTTAAAGTGCTGTTTGCATCAACCTTTAGCTTTTTAGGGAGATTCTGCAGAGTGAAAAGCAGAGTGTTACCTCTAATGACTTTCTTTTAGTGCTCCTGTGGCAGAAGGAATAAATAAATATATATTCATCACCCTTCATTGTTTTGAACAATGGCCCATTTGTTTGTGTATAGCAAATTAAACCAGGAGTACTAAACTCTCCAATGTTTTTCCTCTCTCTCCTTTAGTATTAGTAATTTCAGGGAATTAGTGTCACATCTTAAAATGTGACTTCCATCAGTTTCTTTAGTGATGTCTCCTTTGCTTCTGTTTTGTTTTCAAAGTGAGACCGTTAGCAAAATAAACAAATGGAGATGCTTTTCTGATTACAACAAAACCTTGGTGTGTTGTGTCCCCATAACCACGGAACAGAGCTGTATAAACCAGTTTTTTAGGTGCTTGTTGGAGAAATGAGAGATTTGAGTTTAACCTCTTCAAAAATGTTTACCTTTCTAGATACAGATTGTTTGGAAACGAGCAGGTTACCTGTGCAATTAGGAATGAAGGTGTTGATTGGGATGGTCAGATGCCTTACTGTGAAGGTGAGTAAATTACTGCTGTGATTAATTTTCTGTTCAGATGGTGGGAGTTCATTTAAAAACAGCTGTGCTATAAACCTTCCAGTCTAAGAAATGATGGTAAAATAGGAGTGTTTGGGGGGGTTTTTTGTAGCTATTTGGGATGTGCCTGAAGGATGACCACTGAATAATACCAGTTATGGTAATTATATCAAATTCAACCTCGTGTTGTAACTGAGATTCTCAGCCACAGCTGTAGCTTGCCTTAGAGCAGCTATAGCAGATTTTAAGTGCAATTCCTTGGAAATCAAGGCTTGCCATTTCTGAGGTGAACAAGCTGACAGACCCAACGTGCTTTCTGAGTGAGTTGTGTGCTTGGTTTCCAGTGATTCCCTGTGATCCCCCTCCCAGCATCACCAACGGGCACCACACAGAAGCTGCCAACTACGTGTATCAGACTGCAGTGAGCTACTCCTGTGATGATGTCCCAGCAGGCTCAGATCCCTTCTCCCTCATCGGCTCAGATACCATTTTCTGCACCTCTGATGAGCACTCAAATGGAGTTTGGAGTGGGCCACCTCCACAATGCAGAGGTTGCTGGGATTTTTAATTTTTTTAATGTGTTTGTTACGATCTCTGTCCCTTTTTTCGAAGCGGGGTGTGGTGGGGAATGGACCCTCCCTATAGAAAAGAAGAAGCAAATCCTCTGGTACTAAGTTTGGCACAGTCTCATTGGAGATCAGGTTAGCTGGGTGGATACTGATTGCTTGTGACACAGAATATAGCTAAAATTTAAGTTAAAACTTCAAAAATGCGTGTAGTGTCTTGGTGGTAGAAGTGACAAGGCCAAAGTGGAGGAACTTAGAGACCAGAATATGGCTAAAATTTAAGTTAAAACTTCAAAAATACATGTGTGACTGTCTTGTTGGTAGAAGTGACAAGGCCAAAGTGGAGGAACTGAGAGACCATAAAGCCTGGGTAGCTGAAGAAAAACTATGTAAAGAGCAAGGATGTGGAAGCTTGATTGGGAATAGTAAAAAACTAAGGGAGCATCCTTTTCCTGAAAACACAACTACTAGGGAAGTGCAGGAATAAATGCAAAGCTCAGCAAGCACAGAGTCAGATGTAGGAAGAAATTCCAGGTGCATGTTGTCATTTGAACCCTAATCAGTATAATTTGTTTTCTGAAATCCTGCCACTGTGCAGGTGTGTGTCTTTTGGAAGTGGAACATTATGATGTCAATTATTACAATTTCTTAATTGATTGTACTGTTACAACCCAGTAGCTCAAACCAAGGACCTTCTCCACCTTTAAGAAAATAACACTGTTATAAAACCCCTCCAAAACAACTTGAGGACTGGGACATTTGCAAGTAAGGACAGGGTGTTGTGTTTGTTGCTACCTTTGTGTTAACAAATGCTTCAGAGCTGTTTTCCTTTTCTCTCTTTTCAGTGGTCAAATGTGAAAACCCCAGAGTTAAAAATGGGTACAAAATATCTGGATTTGGGCCTTCCTATACTTACAGGGACTCGGTCCAGTTTGTGTGTGATGCAGGCTATTACATGGTTGGAGAAGATATAATTTCCTGTGCAGAAGATAACACTTGGTCTCCTCCAATCCCAACCTGTGAGAAAAGTAAGTCTTTCTGTAAAATTCCAGTTTGTCTTGGGTTTGAGAGTGTTGTAAGCTTTGTCTCAGCTAAAATTTCAAATCACAGCACTGTAGGTGTAAATCAGAAGCTGAGGAAGTTGATGGGGAACCGTCTGTGGGTGACATTTTAGGTGTTTGAGGGGCTCTTAACTCCAAAGAGTTTTTGGCTGAGAGTGAATTGAGTGACAGACGTGGTAGAACTTGTGACGTGGACGTGCTGTGATTGGTTGTGGTGTTTGCTCTGGTGATTTTGACAGTAAATAGAGGAGAAAATATGTGTTTCTGAATTCTGATAGAGAGAACCAGGAGTGTGCACAATAAAGAAACCTGTAGGATCCTGGAGTAATCCAAATCTCTGTGTTTGATGTAGCTCTTCATCTCTTACTTTCCAGGCATCTCGTGGGTGTTTAGCACATTGTTAGATTTTTGACCAGGCAAATTCCTAAGTCAGGACTATTTTGCAGGGCTGGGAGCATGGCAGAGGTGTTTCTGAACCTTTCTCCTCCCTCTTTGTGCTAGAGGGGAAGGGGACATGGTTGTACAGTACAGCAAGAGAATTTTTTACATGCATAGTTTAATAATGAGCTCACAAGAGTGAGAAGTACTTTGGAAAGAGTGCTTGAGTGTTCTGTAATGAATGAGTCTGATAAGGCACCTGGAAATGATTCTAGAGCTCACAAAACTAATCAACCAATATGGATTTCAGAGCTACCACATCATAAGATTGCATTACCTTAATGAATACCTACAGTGATGTTTCTTGAAGTCTTCTAAAGGAAATATTTATACTTAAAACTGCGGTCGAGTTAAACTCCTCAGATATGCTGAGGGTTTTTCTCATGCCAAGGCAATGTGTATTTGTAGAGTGAGTTAACGAGTTCTGAAATATTTCAAGTTCATTATCACTAAACTAGTTTTTAAATTCATCTATTAATTCCTGCAGATGTGTGTGGTGCTCCAGAGGTCACAAACGGAGCCGTGGTCCCGCTGAAATCTGTCTATAGTGAAGGAGAGTCTGTTAAAATAAAGTGCAATGCTCGCTGCTCTTTTCCTGATGGCACTAAGGAGGTGACAGTGGCCTGTCAGGGACAGAAGACATGGAGTTATTTTCCAAAGTGTAGATGTGAGTAAAACTCATACTTGGTAAAATCAGAGGCAAGAGTGACAAGTTTTAAATATCTGCTGTAGTTACGGCTTTTCTTTTTTTTCCCCTGTTTTCTTTCCAGGTGGGCCTGAAAGTCCTGGTTCCACTCCAGGTACAAGTCCTGGTTCCACTCCAGGTACAAGTCCTGGTTCCACTCCAGGCATAAATCCTGGTTCTATTCCAGGCATAAGTTCTGGTTCCACACCAGTCATAAATTTTGGTAGAGTAGTTGTGGGACAAAAGCCTTCCTATGTTGTGGGGGATTGTATTACCATTGAGTGCTACGCAGGGTACACGTTACAAGGTGAAGCTGAAATTCGGTATATGGGAGGAAACCAGTGGTCTCCTGGAGTGCCAACCTGCCAGCTGAGTAAGTATGAACTGCAAGGACTTCCACTAAAAACACCTGTGAGAGAAACTTTGCTGCTTAAGAATGTCCTTTTGCATTCGGGAGAAATAATTGAACGCGACCTCCTCCTTTATTTTGGCATGAAAAAAAACAGAGCTTGCTAAAATCAATTGAAAACATAAATATTTGAAGTTAAGTAGATGCTGTGATGTAAACTGACCCGCTTCAAAGATTTGTGTTGACAAGCATGCTTGATCTGCTTGGAGTAGCTTTGTGAATGTTTTTATAATGATGTTTGAACAAGAAGCACACGTGTTCCTCTTGTGATACTGATTCCCTCTCTTTTTAGGTGGATATGTCATAGCCTGCATCTGTGGTAAGTATTTTCTGAAACCTCAACAAGACACGATGTTGATTGTATTTTTTTGATGTGGAAATTTTATTTTTGATCCCAGTCCCCTGTGACTGCAGTAGAATGATTTTGGAGTTTTGGTTAAGGCTGCATAATTCAAAGAAACTTAAGATTGCTCAGCAATTATAGTTTAATTTAGTGTAAATGTGTATTTTTTTTCGTGTTTGTGAGGTCAGATTTACTTCATTACTTTGATAAACTTCAGAACCTGTGTTTACTCTAAGTGTTGAGTAAATTACTCTGCCATTGAACAGAAGTGTTTAGTCCATCTTCTGTCATTTGAGTTTGTTACCCAGTTTTGTATAAACTTGTCAGAAGTTTTGTTAGGGGGTTGTCATCATTCCTGCTTTGTCTTTCCTGTTTTAATGTTACTGAACTGGTGGGGTTTTGCCATCTTAGTGATCATTGTTCTTGAGCTGAATTAAGAGTCTTGAGTAAAGCATCAAATACTTCATTTACTTATTTAATAAATAAGTTGGGCTGGGGGTTTATTTGAGGGGGCAGGGGTGCTGTAAACCTGTGGATGAAAACAATGCTAGTTCTGCAAAACTTTCTGATGCTTTTGTTGTGAGCTAGAGATGACCTTTATCACTCTAAAGCTTTTTTATTTATTTATTTATTTTTTTAATTCTTCCTGAAGTGCTTGTGGTGATCGTGGTGCTCCTGGCAGCCTTCTGGGCCTATAAGAAATTCTTTTCACAGAATGGGTGAGTAAACTTCCTTTTTTTTATTACTGTTATTATTGCACATTTCCAGATGACTGAGCAAAAGCTGTGCTGACATGTGTGAGTTTCTTGAGCTTTATCTGCCCTTTCTTGTTCAAATGCCTGATTTGTGTGTGAGCTTCTCCCAGCAGCTGATGGAAACTAAAGCCTAACAATATATTTGACTTTTGTTTTTGTATCTGTTGTTCAGCTAAGCTGCTAATTAACACTTGCACTGATTTCAGGGATGGAAAAACCTTATTCTTAAGCTTGTGTTTGGCATATTTACACTTGCCAAGGGAAGTACTTTTGTTATCTGCTAAAAACATGTCAAATTTACCTTTTAAAACCAGGGCTAGTGTTGGTTGTGTGGGCTTGTGCTACTGGAAGGTTTTCAGGGTTTTTTTTTTCTCCTGCAGCAGCAGTGTTGGTGTCCCTGTGTTAAAGACTTGCAAAATGAACTGTAAATGTTAGATTTATACATAAGTAAGTGTTCTTCTGTTTTTGATGAGACATAAAGGGTGTTTTGAACTTCATCTTCAAAACAGCTGGGTTTTATGTGTGCTTTTTCATGGAGGGGTGGCAGGAGATTTAAATGCCTCTTTGTGCATTATTTCTTGCTGTAATGCCTGATTTTTGTCTTCTTGAAAGAAGCCTGTTTTGTTGGAGAAACAGTTTGTAACATGCAAAACACTGAAAATCCAGAGCAAGTTAGGTGGTGCACGTGGATTGTTAGGATAAGCAGCTCCTAAAAACTGGGTAACCTTTTAACAAAATCTCTTGGAATTTACCTGGAGCACATGAAGCCAAGACAGGGATGCTTTAAATAAAGTGAATCAGAGGAAATATTCCCGTGGTTTGTATTTGTAGTGAAGTACACACAGAGGACTTGGGAGAACCCTGAAGGCAGTTTATGTCCAGTGAGGTTTTAGCAGTGAGGTTTTAGCTTTAGTTCCTCCTACATGGGCAGCACAGGATCATTCCAGGGGCCAGGGTGACAGAGTGCCCGTGTGCTGCTGAGGAATTTAAGGCTTTTGAGCCATTCCTTCTCATCCATGGCTTGGATATCCTGCAGTCTGGGCCAAAGAAGAGTCCATGGGAGCTCACAGCATTAGGGCAGCACTTTGTGTCTTCATCCGTGGAGAGACTTCTCAGGGTGTAGAGAGCAGGAGGGGTCTAAAACAGCGTCACAAAAAATGAAAGAATGTTATATTTCTGAATATTTTGCAGCAGTTTTAAAGCCTTATTGTGCTTAGTGCTTTCCTTTGTCCTTCTCTCTGTGAACATCTGGCTGTTAAACCTCTTCCTTGTCTGGAAACCCTGATCTAATCTCCTTTTATCAAGGGCTCTGTCTCCCTCTTTAGTTTCCTGAGTTCCTGACGTAGCTGAGCCTTTGTGAACTGTTGTGCTTCCACCCCCCTACTTGCTGGTTTGTGGTCTTCAGATGGCAGCAAATCTTTCCTTGCCCTCTCTCATATGTGTTTAATCTGCCAGTTTTATGGGACATTCAATTAGAATTGAAATTTTTCCCCTTCTGCTGTTCAGCTCGTACACAGTTGATGAGAGTTGCAAGGAAACATGTATTTTAAAAACTAAGGCCCCAGCTGAGATGGAAGACACTGAATACATGAATTAATTGAATCTTTAAAAGGTATACACTTTCCACTTCATTTGGACTTTTGCAGTGAAGCTTAAGTATCTTTTTATTGGGGTTTACTTGGAATTTAAGAAGTGTGGAATCTGTGAACCTTGGCTTCCCATAGGAAATAATATCATAACCTTTCACTCATTTTGGGAGAATAGAGTATAATATATAAAGAATTATCATTCAGTAGTGTAAGCAATAGCTTCCAGTGATTGCATATCACATTTCTTAGTGTTGAGTTGTCTTTGAAGAATGAGTAACACATTACATACTTTATAGAATGTTTGCACCCATTTCAATAATGTGGATTCCAGTGCTGTTACTTTTCTTAGCTAATAGTATAATTCCCTATGATTAAAAGACAGTTTGGACACTAAAATTCTAAAGGTATTTAAAATTTGCATCCCTTCAGAGCAAACCAGATCCCATATCTCTCAGAATTATTGATTCACCCGCATTTTCTCTTTCTTAGAAGTAAAATATAAATAAATGAAGGTTCTAACACGATCTTTTTAAACCTTCTTACAAAAAGGTGATTTCTTTCTCAGAGTTCTGTAGCCCTGAAAAGGATCAAAATATAGTTGCCTATTTGCAACTAATTTCTTCTGTTTTTTTTAACCTAGTGCTTAGTCCAGCAGTGAGTGATGATGGCTGGGACTGCACTTGGGCTGGGGTCAAATGTGCTCTTTCAAAATCTGGCTCTTCAAACCTTGTTCCAACAGAACAGATTTAAGACAGAACAGCTTAGTTTAACTAATATTTGTCAATATTTTGTCATGACAGATTAAGAGAGTTGGCACTACAATTACTTTTTTAAACCATTATCTTCTTTCGTGTCCCTTTTCTCCATTGCACAAGTTCTTAGAAGGTGATGGGTGGTTGTGTCTCTTACTCAAACTTAGTCCCAAGGTCTGTTTTTTATTGACTTGTAAAGAACAAGTGGTTTTTTCAGTATTTTTGATGAGTTTCGAGATGGCATATATAAAGATTAGGCTTGGAGTTACTCCCCAAATAATGTATGGATTAAAGAATATCATCTTTACCTCTGAAGAAAGATGTTTCTAATTAAGTTAGGATTAGTTTTCTCAGTTAGTTGGGCTTATTTTTGGAGAGGATAAAAAGGAATCAAGAGATAGAGTTCTTCATTCCAATCTTACCTGTACTTGTGATAGTGATAAGAGAAATTCCTGGTCTGGTATGTGAAAACACTGTTAATCCTGAGTTTTTCTTATGTAGAACTCCTTAGAGACTTGGAATAATAGTACAGAGGTTTGGTGTGGGGTGGGTTTTTTTTTTGGTAAAGCAAAACAGGAGTTATTCAAGATCTTGAAACATGTTATTTTAAATTTTAATTAATGTATGTTTAAGAATTATAAATTTGCTATTGGTAGACAGAATCAAAATTCTCACAAACTAATAGTTTCTGCCTAGAAAATCTGTACTAAATAACAAACTGAATGGAAAATGAATGACAAGGGGTGCACCTGATGTGGTCTCCAGATCAGTGAGGAATCCTCTGGCTGTTCTGTTGTTAGTTTTTGATAATACTCAGGCATGGTCTGTTCATCACTTGAAATGATCCATTTGGATCAAGGGCTTTTCTACTCCTTGGGTCGTTCTTAAACACTTTAGCAGAGAATGAGGCAAAAATCTCCTCAGTCCAGCAGCTGCTTAGTAAGGAGGGGACAAATAATGACTTAGTTTCGTGCCTTTACCTGTTGATTTAATGACAAAACTAAGGCTGTGCTTTCAGTATAAAATGTAAAACCTATTTAAATGTAAAATCTCTGATTTGACTTGTTTTTTTGTTTGTAGGAAACCCGACAGCACTCCATGTACTGCCGAATATAAGATGTGTAAAGCATGAATGACCTTTTTTGGGGGTTGGTGGGAGGGGGTTTGCAGTGGAATATCCCTGCCAGAAATGGAAAACAATTGCACTTGCATTGAGTAGAGGAGTAACTTGTGCTGTGTCTTGTCCTGCTGGTTAAATGTAGGAGGAGGTGATCAGTGGGGTATAAAGTGTGTCTGCAGTTGTATAGACAGATATTCTGTTTTTCCTCCTGTCTTTCCTCATGGCTGTAGCATCCAAGAGTGTCTGTCTGCAGGAGTCAGTGCTACCTCTTTGCTTACAGAAGACTGTCCAGTATTCTCTGTTCTTTTATTGTTCTGCTCACCAAAACTATGTCCTCCTCCTTCTTTTCTGTGGCTGAGGAGGTATAAATGTTGTCCCTTGTATTGTTCTTGTTGTTATTATTATTATTTTCCATGAGAGATCGGTGTCATTGAAGGCTGTGTCTTTTTGAAACTATCATAGGTCAGATCTCATATGCTCTATCTCTTTGTTTGTCAGAGTTGATTTCTGTGTATCTAACTAATTAAAATGTGCCTTTAAATCAGAGTTTTATACCTTTTCCTTTGCTTTTAAGAAGGAAAAAAGCCATATATATTTCTGAATCTTTGATATAGTCCTGCAAAGGCCACAGTGGATTTATTATAGTAGAAAACTGGAGGTTTCTGTAGCAAAGACATTCCCTGCCTTTGAATTTGTTGACCTGTTTTAGAAGTTACCTAATTAAAGTTACTGCTGAGAAATCAGTGGTACCATCTCCTGTCGTGAGCACAGTGTAAGTCCCTTAGTGGGCTCGATTTTTATTGAGCCTTGATGTCAGTTCTGGAGATACTTTGCTACTTTTCAGGATAGAAAGGATGCTGTGTGGACCCACCTTCCTTGCTTTTTTCCCTTGAAATCATACATTCCACATTCCAAATCTCTGTCTACAGACAGTGATGTTAATCAAGCTCTTCAATGATGGATTTATCATCATCATGCACCTGTTCAGAAACAGAAGCCTTTCCCTGTCAGACTCACTTTTCATGTTAAAGGAAAACCAAAGCAGTTTAGTGCTGGGAGTGCAGGACTGGATGTGCTGGCAGTGCTGGTAGATGAGGTCTCTCTTTAGCTCCTTAGCACAATTTTTTAGTCCAGACTGTGACTCCAGGAGTTGGCAAACACTCCAGTGTTTGCCATGAACCGAGACTCGTTGCCACTTCTAATTCCTTATCAAAACCAAAAGCCTAATTAGGACCAGGTTTTAGCTTCATGAATCTCACTGTCAACCTACAGGCAGCTTCTAAGAACCAATTCTCCCAGAAAAAAAACCCAAATTGCCTCACTTCACATGCCTTGGGGCAGCATTGAAACTGTTCTGGCTTGTCTCTGGTGGCTTGGCACTGCTCCACTGTCATCAACTGATTGTTGGAGCAACAGAGAACTGTTTGGGGCTTTTTAGGGCTTTTTGGGACAATCCCAGCGGTTGCATTGTTGGAGCTCATAATAGTCTGTGGTTTTTACAAAGGGGTTTTGGCTCCACAGGATGACTTGCTGTTCAGGGGCTGGTTGACATCTTAGTTTGAGAATTGTTTGTAAACACTGGGTTGTGTGACTGGGGGGGGTTGAGTGTGGGGCTCACGAGCTCAGCTTGCTTTGTGTGGCATCTGCAACGTGCTAAAAACTCGCTGAAAATGCACTGAAAGCTGAGCTGGGATCACTGTAAAAATTGGCCTTATTTTCACACCTCTTTCCGGATGTAAAGACTTAGTAATGCCTTGTAATATTGCAAATAAAAATGTTAAATTATTTAGCAGTAAGTGTTTGTCTTTCATTCGTCATGTGCTGAGCAGCTCTTTTCCCGTTATTATTAAGATCATTTTTCCTGTAATGAACTTTTATTAGATGGGAGCTGTTGAGATTGAAATTTGCAGTTTGTGCACAGAATTACTCAATGGTAGTGTAGAGAATGTGATTTAATTTGCTGAGCAGCCTTTTGGGATTTTCTTTTAGAATCGCAGAGAATTCCCCAGAACCTCCCAAACTTTACTGTGTTCACTCCTGAAAAACTTGGTCAAAGCTTGATGGAGAAGAGGCAGATTATCCCATGGTTGTTCTGATGGAACCCTTGAGTCAGGAGCAAAGCCCAGTGAGTGTTTTGGCACTTTTGTCCAGTGTGTGACAGATGCAATCCTTAGGGAATATGGATTAGGTGGTTTTAAGTGACATTTTAAGTAGAATCTGATTATTAATTGTGTGAGTTTCACACTTAAAATGTACTTAATTTTCTTGGCAAAGCAATGTGTGGAGTCAGCTGCCTTGCAGAATGAAGCCTTTCAGAGGGTGAAATAGAGAAAATTAAATAATATGCCATATTTTTTTTCCAGTTTGTGGTTGTGATACTCAAAATGAGCTGGTGTGGACTGCAAATGATGCCAGACTGCAGAACTTTGCATTATGAATTTTTGGGATTTCAGTGAGCATTGGTGGGATAAGCAGCTGCTTGGCAAGTTTTCCAGTGGAAGGTGTCCCTGCCCATGGCAGGGGGTGGGATGAGATGAGCTTTAAGTCCCTTCAAACCTAAACCATTCTGTGATTCCATTCTGTGATCCTCTGAGTTTGACTTAAAACACTTCAAATTATTTTGCCCCAATTGTCATGAATTCTGCACCATTCTTCCTCAGACTCAGTCCCACATGAATTATTTCACTTTTGGCTCTGGAGCTGATAGTCAGAGTCATGAACACATGAACTCTGTGCCAAGGGAAGAGGCTGCATGGAATAAAAATGTGGTGTTGCCACCTACTGGTAACACAGTGGGAGTCACAAAACAGGTACAGGGTTACCTGGTTCAGTGTTAAATCATGTGAAGTGTCAGTGCTTGGTGGCTTAAAATCAGTGTAAATTAAACCCTGCCCGTGGCAGGAGGTTGGAACAAGGTGATTTTTAAGGTCCTTTTCAAGTCAAACCATTCTATGAATCTAAATACTCACTTCTCAGGGCGGTGAAAATGGAACTGGGGACTGAAATGAAGAGACTTGCAGCACTTGGATATTGTCCAGCAGGGAAACAGGTGATCTGTCTACCTCAGACAGAGCCCAGTAACATAAAGCACACAATTTTATTTAAGAGGTAAAAAAAAAAACTCTGCGTAAAGAACAGGTTAAGGCAAACAACTCGCACGTGGAATAGAAGTGGTCGGAAGGTTGGGTGGCTGTGCTGTCACACCTGGGCCCTGGCTTGCTGGAGGTGGAGAATCTTAGTTAAATGTTTGAAGAGATGCTTTGCTCTCTTCTGGAAGCATCCCTCCTGACTTGAGCGGGGTGCTGAGTGTCCTCCTGTGGTGCAGGATGCTCGGCCTGTGGGTGTAACTTCAGAGAACAGCAAACCACACGTGTTTGTGAGGCCGGGTCAGGCTTTGGGTGGTGTTTAGTTATGGCTTGGGGGGGTGGGGGAATGAAGTTTTCCTTTAGTGTTGCTTTTCCCCCTACATCATAACCGATTTCAAATGGTGCTAGACAAAAACTGAGACTCTGAACACCAAGAGAAATCGGTCAGCCTGTGTAAGAGACGTTTTCCTGGCTCAGAGAAGGATCCTCTTGTAGATGACAGCTATGGATTCTTTACAGATGACTATTCAGAGCTCTGATCAAAGGCTTCATCCACACAGCCATCATCTTTTCTGGGTGTAATGACATGTTGGACAACAGGGAGGTCAAGCAAAGATAGTTCAGCTTTGTTCTGGTGGTTGGGATGAAGGGGTGGAGAAGTGAAACATCACTAGAAGTTACCAGCAACGGATTTAAAAATAATTCTGGCAGAAGGAGTGAGTTCTGTGCGTGACATCACCAGGATGCCCATGGCAGGGGTTGGAACAAGGTGATCTTTAAGGTCCCTTCCAACCCAAACCAGTCTGTGATTCTGTGGTTGCTGAGGGCACTTTTGTGTTTATATCGTTGAGGGGAATTTCTGTGTGTGTGCAGAGCAAGTCTCTGGGAGCTGTGGAATGAGAATTCTGTGGAGGTGGAGTCCCCAAGCACAGAGTGGAAATCCATTTGCTCTAAGGTAGTGAATTAAATGTTATTGCTGGAGATTGTATAATAAATGTACTCTGCCTGTCGAGATGCAAGAAGTACCACGTTGGTTTTCATGCAATTTCCAGATCACTCTACTCTGGACAACTTGAACTCATATCCATTGTTTATTAAGTAGAAGTACATTAGAAGGAGGCTGTTCTGTTGTGGCCCTGGCTTGGGAGGGTGTACAGGGGTTGTAGAAGTGTCTAGAAATCAGATGATGTTACAGAGTGGATGGCTGGAAAAAAAATAACCTTTGGAGAGAGGGCTGGTTTAAGGAGCTGAGGCTGTTGGTGAAGTGAGCAGCTGCTTGATCTCTTCCCACGCTGTAATTCTTGCTCCTAGAACACTGATTTCAAATGGTGCTAGATACAAAGTGGGAAAATCTAAGCCACCATGTGAAACCAGCTTCCAGAGGAAGACACATCTTGTGCATGGCTGCAGGCTGAGGGAGAAAATCCTTCCTCTCCACCGTACCTAGAGAAAAATTCATTTATTTAATTTGATTAGACAGCAAGACGGTTAACTTTGGGTTAATTTCTTTATGGACACACATTTATTTGGTATCTTGTGAATGGCTGAGGCTGGTGTAGGAGAAGTTAAAGGTGATGAAGAAACCCCCCCAGCCTGGCAAGTGACTGTTGTTTCCTTTCCTAGCCAGGTGGAATGCAGTGAAATTCTTACCAGCAATAGTAGTACAGGTTTCATTTCTTTGTAGTGATGGGGTGCGTGGGGGAAGTTTGTGTTGTTACAGAAACACTTTTTCCATGCCATTGCAGATGAAACCAGGCTATAAACCTCCTTCTGTCCACTTTCTATCACTTACTGATCTCAGAGAGGACAAGGGCACATCAGATGCTTTTTGTGACAAGGGAAGGAAATGGGACTGTCCTGATGGAACTTCCTCTGTCAGCTGGCTCACGTGGCCTGTGAGTTCTTTAAATAAGCAAGAGCTTGGCAGATTTTTGTGAGACAACTTTTAAATTCTGCGGGGACAGTGAAAATAAATGGGATTGAAACTTTGCTTTGAACGTGGGTTAGAACAAAAAAGGAGCACTCATAAATCTGACTGTAAATGGTTCAGTGAAAGTTGTTGAGGAAGGAGGAGGGTCTGCAAATGAGTGGCTGATGGGTCCTGGAGCTGGAATAGGTCTGAGCAGTGGTGCCCATGTCTCAGTGCAGAGGGAAAGGATGGAGTGTCCCAAAACCTGTGAACCACACACGTGCATAATTCAGGAGCTGCCAAACCCCGGCCACCACGTGTGACCTGTGCTGGTGCAGAAGCTGATGGAAAATGGAATCCAGCATGGCAGAACTGGAGTTGAGTGTTTCACTCAGGGATGCCCTGGGGTTTTGGCAACACCTTGTATTAATTTTGTAACCACATCCAAAAAATCTGCTCTGCTGCTTCCATCCTAATGCACACTCACAGGCAGCAGAGGAAAGGCTCAGGGAAAGGAGATGTCCTTCCAAGAAAGAGGGGTGGAGGAAGGGGAAAGAGCTGTACTAGATTACTGTGTCTGGATATTTGCTGTAGTTTCTAAATCCATTATCTGGGGCAGCAGGGTGAAAGACAAGTGGAAAGCAGGTTCCCTCCCCAGTGTCTGTCGTGCTGGCACAGTTATTTATGAGGCACCCTCTATTATCAGGTGAGATTTACTCCTGAAAAGCTGGACCAAGAGTTGCTGCTGCTGAAAGGTTGCAGCACAGATCACACAATCACTGCAGCATCTTTGAGAAACAGGTTCAAAGTGAGGTTTGCTTTGGTTTTTATCCTGACTCAGTAGTAAGCATTAAAAAGAAATCTTTACCAGGGTTTTCAAAAATAGTTGGAGCAAATGTCACTTAGTTCTGTGCTGCTGAAAACAGGAGCTTCTGTCAAATTATGAGACTTACAGGGACTGAACACCTATGCCCACCTTCCCCTCTCCAAAGGAGACTAACCTTTCCAGAAATACCATGCAGCAGTTAAAGACCAATAGCTCATTTATTATTTACAGTTTTGATAAAACCAGGTTTCAGTTCAGCATAATTAAGATGCTGCTGGCCTTCCTCCAGGCTACCTGAAGTTTCTCCTGTTGCCTTAACGAGCTCCCCAGAAGGCGTCAGCCCATTTTGCCAAGGTGCAGGTACACATTTTGGAAAGGGTACATCTGTGTATGTTCTCCTTCCAAAGCTAACAGCATGTTTGGGCAGGCAGCAGGCAGAGAGGAGGAGAAAAAGAGCAGTTCAGGATGCTGTGATACACAGCACCTGACTGGGAATATGTGCCTGTGCAGGGAAATGGAATCACAGGATGCTTTGGTTGGAAGGGACTTTAAAGCTCATCTCATTCCACCCCCTGCCATGGGCAGGGACACCTTCCACCAGCCCAGGTTGCTCCAAGCCCTGTCCAACCTGGCCTTGGACACTTCCAGGGATGGGGCAGCCACAGCTTCTCTGGGCAACCTGTGCCAGGGCCTCCCCACCCTCCCAGGGAGGAAAATAAACCAGGACTTGTCTCAGACATTTGCTGGGTGTGTTGTACATTTGGACACACAAGCCAATACTGTCAATTGACTTTGTCAAAGTGGTCTGGGGTTTTCAATTAATAATAGTAGGAAAAGTACAATACTATGACTCTGGGTTTTCCCTCCTTTTCAGATGCTTTGGTAGCAGGGCTGTTCTTTCAGGGGAATATCTCAAAGCCTTTCATGGGTTTCACACTGTTTTACACATCTATAGGACACAAAGGCAGAAA